GTGGTGGCTCATGCCTGTAATCCCAGCACTCGGGAGGCTGAGGCAGGAGGATCAGTGCAAGTTCGAGACCAGCCTGGGCTACAAAGTGAGCTCAAGGCCAGCCTGAACTGCATAGTGAGACCCTGTCTCAAAAAAAAAAAAAAAAAAAAAAGAAAATCCCAGAGAAAAACGGAGGAAGTTCCGTCACCTGAGGAAACACCAGAGATCCAAACATGGCCTGACCTCATGTCCATGTGGAAACTGAAAAGTTGATCCCAAAGATGTGGAAAATGGAGCTGTGGCTTCTGGGACCTGGGAAGCATGGGGGGAGGGGTGGGGGAGGGAACGGGGGGGGCAGGTACAGGGTGCAGGTGGGGGGAGGAGTGATGCTGGGCGCAGCAGGGGGTTCCCGATGTTGACAGAAGTCACGACAAAACGGCAATTCCTTTCACCCTCCATTAGGTTCAGCGCTGAGCCTATAGGGAAACTGGATTGGTTCTAATCCAGTTCGATTTGGTCCCAGAATCATAGAAAGAATCAAGTTTACGGGCCGGAGATTTAGCTCAGTAACACAAGCAAGGTCATGAGTTCAATCCCGGTGCCAAAACAAAAAGGAAACAAAACAATCAAGTTTATGAACTGTGGTACCACTGTGCTTCAAGTTAGATAGCAGAGAATTTGAAGTTTCCATTAAAAAAGAATGATAGATGTCTGAGAGATGGGTATGCTGATTGACCTGACCATTACACGTTGTGTACACATACTGAAATGTCACAATGTATCCCCTAAACGTGTACAATTAATATGTGCTAATTAAAAATAAAAATGTATTTAAAATCAATAAGGTATAGGCAGTTGTGTATAAGTTACATATACGCGTGTGTATATATATAAATATAAGAGCCTGGGGATACAGCTCAGTGGCACTGTGCCTGCCTGGCAAGCACAAGGTCCTGAGTTCAATTCTGGGTACAGAAAACTGAAAGGGTTTTGGCCCAGGCCGGATACTGTAGCCGGTAAAGCCAAGGAGCTCCTATCTCCCCCTCCCTTAGGACTCTACCTCTGGCACCAAACTAAGACCAATGGGCTACCTGTGCATCTCTAATGCCCCCCTTAGGTTCCACCTCAAGCCGAAGCTACATATAGGTCCCCACTCCATGTGTTCCACGGAGAGATCGCCGGCCCTGGGGTGGAGATGCTGCACCCCAGGGGGTCGGGGGTGTCTCTCCCCACATTTCCAAAATAAAGGTCATTTATATTTCTTATCTTTTCAGCCACCGTTGGTCCTCCTCCACCCCACAGTTCTATCAAAAACAAAACGAATATTTCACCACTTTGTATGAGAGACTGAGCCCCCTGGAGTTTCGGTATCCAGAGTATCCTGGAACCTGCTGTCCCTGCAGATACTGAGGGACGACTGTCTCTGAGACGCAGTCTCCATTCCACTCCTGGACCTCTTTCCCTGTCACACCCTACACTTGTCTATTGCTCGTGTCCCCCACGGCAGGCGGGACACTGTGCACACTCACATCCCCAGTCTCTAGAAAAATGAACGGCCCAGCACACAGAAGGCTCACATATGTGTTGAATGACTGCGGGATGACTCGGTATACATCTCTTGGCTCCAGGGGTACCAAGCCCCACATCCAGGGGGCACAGATGTCACACCCCACAGCACCGCAGTGTTTGGTCCCAGATACTCCGAAGTTCACCGTTTCCTTCGGGTCTTCCCTTTGCTCCTGTGGGGAACCCCAGCTTTGCTCTAGCACATATCTCCTTGAGCCAAGGCCTTTTGATTCAGGTTTTATTTGTAGCCTTGTGGGTCCCTAAACAGGCTTCCCTCTCTTTGTCCACTGGACAGACTTCCTGAGAAGGTGGTGATGGACTCCTGCTCACGATGATCAAGCTAGCAGAGGCCACTGAGCGGGACTGGCCAAAGGTCCCAGGAGGAAGAGTGGGGCCTGGAAGGTGGGGAGGACCCGGCTTGGGGGAAAGGGTTGGGAAGAATAACAACCTGGGAGCACGGAGAGCAGGTAGGAGGCTGCCGAGAGCCTAGAGGGGACTGGGGACACCTTTCTGTCTGGGCTGGAGTGTCCACACTGGGACACAGCAGAGGGAGCTGGGCAGCTGATAACCAGGCCGCAGCCACGGCAGTCCCGTTAAATAAGGAGCACAGAGTGACCAGAGGAGGCTGCCATGAGAATGACTGGCCTGGCAGCAGTGTTGGCCTGATCGGACTCAAGGGACGCACAGGAATGAAGGTAAAACTCGACTTGAAAGCTTATAGAGATGGTGGGCAGTTTACTGCAGCGAGAGGAACCAGGGCGCTGGGTCAGGCACATCCTGAAGCCAGAAAATAAAGGAAGCTGTGCAGATAGGACCAGGTCCTGAATAGCTCACATACCGGAGGAGTTGAGTAATGCAAACCCACTAGCAGGGCCTAAGGGAAGGCAAGGGAAAGAACAGGGCCTAACCAAAAGGAAGACCTTGGGGGAGGTGAAATGCTAATGAAGCGGCTTCCTTTCCGGACATCAAAGGCCTACCTGCAGCCAGGAGCACCCCTGCTTTCTGTCGCTGCTCTGGTCTCAGAAACTGTAGAGAAGGCCGAGTGGTCTTAAACATCCCTCCCTGACAAGAGGGCATCTCTTTTCTTTACTCTTCCTACCACTGGCCATTCCCCCTCCCTCACTGCTTGCTATTTGGCGGGCTTCAATCTTTGCTGCTGCAAAACAAAGACCTGAGAACTAGAGAGAGCTGGTTACAATCCCAGTGTGAACCTGGGCCTTGTCACCTACTGGTTACAGATCGGTACTTTAACACTCTGGAGCCTCAGCTTCCTACCTGTAGATCGACACACTTGAGAGGCTGAAGGAAGGGACAGTCAGGGTCCTACAAAGCATCTCGCCTGATCCCAACCTAGGCAGAGCTGCTGGTGGTTTCGGCACCCTCTCACGGGAGGCCCTCTTGATGGACACTGAAGTGGGGACTGCTGAGTCACCTCTTGTTGTGGCGTTTAAGGAGCTCTGGTGGATCCAAAACTCCAGATCTGGGAGGCTGCAGGGCAGGGAGGCCAGAGCTGCCCAGGGGAAGCCTGATGCGTTCCTCCATGCCTTCCTCCCTGGCACCTGTGCCATGCTGGAGGTTTGTCCCCTGCCATCTCAGGAGAACAGGGACAGACACACATAGTATCCACTGGTTTGGGGAAAAGAGGGTAAGGACAATGAGGGTGGTGCAGGCGGGGGTTCTCTGAGTCCTGGAACCTTCTTCTGGGTGATGCTATTCATGCACAGTGCCAGGAACCTGCTGCCCACTCGGTTCAGGGTCACCAAACCCTGCACATCACTAACTCACGAGGCAACGCTGGGCCAGCCACGCCTCTCTGGAACTTAGTTTCGTCATCTGAGAGAGGGGGTCTGTGTTAGCTGCCCCTGTGGCTCTTTCTTGCCTTTGGCAGTCCAGGGGAAGTTCCTATCCATTCTGGGGCTGGCAGACAGTGTGCCTCTTTTTGTGGTCAAGGGCTATGGGCCCTAAGAGGTGGGCTGGGTCCCAGGCTCAGGTCTCGGACACAGCCATGACTCCTCCTGTGTCATCTTCTAGGAACCTGGAGGCCTCTGCTGGGGCAGCAGTTCAAGAGTTGGGCTCCAGAGCCGGCAGCTGGTTGCCAGGGAAACTTGAGTTTCCAGGAAGAAAGTAGTGGTGGGGAGGGAGGGAGTATATGTTTTGGAGAGAACCCCATGGACTCTCATGCCCTGAGGAGCAGGTCCTCTCTTGGTCCTGTGCTTTTTGCTCAGTGACCTCTTGGACCTTTGCAAATGGCAAGGGAAGGGAGGCATTTTCTGAGGCAGGCCTGGCAGGGCCAGGCCCAGGGACAGTGCAGGCAGGGCCCAGGGGCTGCAGGGCGGGTCACTGCCTCTCCCTTGCCGCTGCCTCAGGCATGAAGTCCCTCTCCCGGGTAACCTAGGGGCTGGCAGGCACTGAATAGAGGCCCACTGGCCGCCTCACCATACCATTGTAACTTCTAAGGGGGAAAGAGGAGAAGCAGCCTGGGGGCTGGGAGGGAGTGGAACTCTCCCCCCGTGCCCCCAGAGCCTGCCCCAGCAGAGGGCTCCCAGGAGACTGCTGGAGTGAAGCCTACTCCTCCCCTCTCCTCAGTTGCCACCTCTACAGGCTCAGCTGTACCCTCCCCCAAGGCAGGCTCTCTCTGTCCGCAAAGCCAGGTCCAGCTGGAGAGTGAGGGGCACAGGCCTACTTGTCAGACCGGGCTGACGGAGGGTGCAGGGTGTGCGGGACCCAGGGCAGGGCCTGGCAGTGTCACCTGGTGTTCCCGGGGTCTCCTGGGATAGCTGTGGAGACCTCCCCTCTGTGGAGCAGGACTTCTGTGGCTGGCTGAGGTCAGTGCTGGGGCTACAGAGAAAGCCTGGTGAGGGTGGGGGGTGAGACCCTCGCAGGGGAACTCAGGGAGGACTTAGGGTAAGCTCCAACTGCAAACAAGACCTGGGAGGGCCTTAGCTATGCCAGGCCACACAGCAGGCTCCTTGCCGTCACAGGCTGGCTTTGGGGAACTCTAAAAGAAGGATGAAGGCTGTAGATGGGCTTGCATTGTAAAAAAAAGAGTTTTGTTATATTTGTATTATACCAAAATACCTGTAATGTGACCCTAACTGTTCTGTATAGTTTTTCTTCTCCCTTCTCCCTCGGGGTGACCTAATTGATATGTTAACCATTGCTGCCCTCTACAAATAACAGATGTGGTGCTAAAATAAGGTAACAAAAGGTTGTTAATTGCTGCTAGACTCCTCTGTTCTCTGCTGAGAAAAACAGGATCTTCCCCATTAGCCTACCTCCTGATCCATGCCCAAACCCCTTACTTTGTAAAGAGTGATATATATATAAAGGCTGCAAGTATGGGGGGCGGGACACACACAGCTTTTGCAATCTCCAACTGCATTGTGTCGCTGGGCCCAGGATAAAATAAATTAGCGCTGCTTTTTTTTTTTTTTTTGTCTTTTTCATTTTTATCGGTACCGGGGATTGACCTCATGACCGCCTGCTTGCAAGGCAGGTGCTTATGCCACTGAGCTAAATCCCCAGCCCCAGCGCTGCTTTTTTAAAATATGTTTTTGCCTCATTTTTTGAACTCGAGCTTGGGGGCTCCTTTGTGGATTACAAGAGCAGATGTGTGCAGCGCAGGGCTCCTGGGAAGGGGAGACCTCCATTGCCCAGGATGACCCCCAGCCTGGTCTGGAGGAGGCTGCGGGAGCATCAAGCAAATCTGGCCCTGGATTTGGACAGGGTATGGTTGTTTTCTAGCATTCCAGACTCCCAGGCTGCCACAGGAACACATGCTAATGACAACCTCCCTTATAACGGCTGGTTTGTTTGTTTTTAATCAAAACTGGCACCAAGGCCTAAAGCCCCGTTTGCCAGCCTGCAGGTTCTTCAGATTCATCTGCAAGGCCAGAAGTAACATCAGAACGGCCCCCCTCGAGCACAGCCAGGGTAGGCTAGCAGGCCAGCTGGGTCTCCCGTGGGCAAGCCCCATCCCGCCTCCTGCTGTGACCCAAGAAGCCCAGCCTGCCTACATGGCCCGGCCAGAGCACTCTCCAGACAGGCATCACACTTTCCAGCTGGAACTGGGAGGCGTCCTTTTCGGTCTGCAAGCGTCAGGAGGGGTGGCAGTAGGGCATGGGTGGGAGGTGCAAGTTGGGTGGGCAGCTCCGGGTGCCCTCAGTCAGCTGGGCGAGAGAGCTAGGAGTTTAGGTCCTGTGGCTGCCGGTGAGTGCGTGGGGTGGGATGGGGCCCCAGAGGGTGGCGGCCTGGGCACCCTGCTCCTCTCCCTACTGAGTGCTTGATGGGATGCTCCCAGCTACCTGCAGGGGCCTCAGCGTGACTGAGCCCGGGCTGGGCTTTGGTGCTGGAAACTTGACTCTCAAAACTGGAGTGACATTAACCAGCAAGCTGGGAAGGAGGAAGCTCTGTGGACCCCAGCACCAGGAAAGTCCAAGGTCAAACAGAAATGATGAATCTTTCTTAGACCCTCTTCTGGATTTCCTGGCCCGAGTTTGTGGTTAAGATCACAAATGTCGGCCTGTCAGCTGGACGGAGCCCATTGATATGTTTTGATTGGCCTGTGTAGTGTTTCAAATATTTCAAAACTCGTTTCCAGTTTTCCTGGAGTCAAGTTTATTTGGCCTTTGCATTTTCTTTCCCCATTTCTTTCTTGCCTTAAATAAATCTGAGTTAGTTGCTAACATTTAAACATTGAGAATGATTGCCTTAAAAAAAACCCAGGTTTCTGGCTTCCTTCAGGAACCAGGAAGAACTTGGCACATGGACCTGTCAGCCTGGGGACCCCCAGCCAGTGCTCCCCAGGGAGCTGCTCACCCATCCCCTTTGGTCCAGTGTCACCTGCCAGACAGGTTCTGGTATCGTTATCTTTCACCCCAGGCATACACAATCAAAAGCTCAGCCTGGTTTCCACCTACAGGACCGTCTGATGCCTTCCTGAATGGATGTTCCTAAATGGTCCTGGAAATGCCCAGCAGATGAACGGAGGCTTAGGCAGTGTCCAGCGCACCTGGTCAGCTCTTCACAGGCTTATTCTCCAGCATGTTCCAGGAGAGCTGACAGAGCTCAGAGTCAGAGTTGAGGGCAAGAGGGACAGGGAGGTCACGGGGCCAGGAGTCAGGAGATCAAGTTCTGGGCTTTGCTTGGCCACAGCTCTCAGTGTAGCCTTGGGCTTGGCCCTCCCCTTGAGCCTCGGTGTCCCAACCTGTTACGGGAATAGTTTAGACTGGATCAGGAATCAACAGCAGGAACCCCAGGGGCCAGGCAGGTAAAATAAGAGAGCAGAGAGCCTGGGGGGTCGCGTGCCAGAGCTTGTCTAAAAGAAACTGCTGTGGCTGGAGGTAAAATTCTGAAACTTCAAGCAAAGCCGGTACCAGATATTACTTGAAATCTCTCTTTAAAAAAAAAATAGTCACAATTAAATTAAGAGCACTCCAAGGACCTAATGAAACACGCCGGTGAGCCACTCTCCATCCTTTGCAGTCTTGACATTAGATAGCTGACAGGGTCCCTGTCAGCCAACGAGAGCATCTTACAATCTGGATGTGCTCCTGCTCACAGGGCAAGTTACTGATGTATCCGAGCCTAGATCCCAAGTTTCCAAGCCTAAGATGTCAGTGATGCATGAGAACTGATTTTAAAATGCGGGAAGGCATTCGTCTTTTGTCTATGCAGGAGAGGTAGCAGAAAGAGGCCCCTGGGAGTCCAGCCCAACATCTCACTTATCAGCTGCGTGCTAGCTGTTAGCCCTGTCACCCCTGGGAGCCACACTGTCCTAACCGTCATGTAGCCATGATGCTATCCAATTTCGAAGTGCCCAGCCCCCACCAACCCTCTCCAGGTGTCTCCCCCACCCCTAGCCCCCCAGATCTGCCTCTGAGCTGTCCCTTTTCTGCCTCAGGTACCATGAGCACAGAGGGCCCCAGCCTCACCAGTCCCCCAGCCTCGAGCACCCGGGCCTTCCTCACTGCCCCGGTCACTCCTGGGACTCTCGCGGTGGTGGCCGACCCGCTGCCCGTGCTCATCGCCCTGGCCTGCGTCTTCCTCCTGCTGGCCTCCTGCCTGCTCTTCCTGATGCTCTGCAAGCCGGCCGCGCTGGACCCGAGCCGCCATGCGAGTGCGCGCGAACTCCTGCCCCACCACCCCGCGAGCCCCAGCGAGCCCCGGCTGCAGCTGTGGAAGCGCCTGGGCTCGCTCCGCCGCTCCCTGCCCAGCTTCCGGCGTGGCCGGCCTGTCCCTGGACGCCCCCTGCCGGGACACGATGACAGCCTTGGTGACAGTGACTGCACCGAATCTACCAAGATGTGACAAGGAGTCCAAATACAGGCCCCCAGTCCCTAGGTCCACCTACAGATCCTCCTGCCTGGCACCACAGGCTGCAGGGTGGTGGCTCAAGATACCCGCACTCCATATGCCTCCCAGGGCTTCTTTGTGTGCCCAGTCCAGGTCTTTTGCCAGAAGTGGCTCTGGAAAAGGGCCTTCTCTCTACAGAGCCCCTGCCGCTGCTTGCTGGCGACCCCTGGATCACATCAGAACAGATCAGCAGGGGCTGAGCAGTTTTTTTTTTTTGGTACCGGGACTCAAACTCAGGACCTTGTGCTTGCCAGGCAGGTGCTTGTGCCACTGAGCTATATTCCTGGCCCGTGAACACAGGTTAAGAGGCTCCTGTCAGAGGCCAGAGCAGGTGCCAGCAGTGTCCAGGAGGCCAGGGGATGGCACCTGGGTATGAGGATGCTGCAGTGGCTCCATGCCCGATCCAGGGAGAAAGGCCGCCTCCCTTCAGGTGGGACCATCCAGACCTCCAGGACAGCTGTGGAATCTCTGACCTGGGCCATATGGCTTTGTTCTGTGTGCTTCGTTGATTGACCTGTCAGTGTGGGCTTCTCATTTTGTGGGTACCTGGGCTTTTCTACCTAACGCCAAGACTAAATACTTCGGGGCTGGGGGTTTAGCTCAGCGGCATAAGCGCCTGCCTTGCAAGCAGGCAGTCGTGAGTTTGATCCCTGGTACCGATAAAAAAAAGCGAAAAAGACCAAAAAAAAAAAAAAAAAAAAGACTAAATACTTCAGTTGGGTCTTCAATTTTAAGAGTGTGCAGAGGGCTTTGTTTCCTGCCCCAGAGCCAGCCAGTCAGGCCCCACCCACTATGGGGTTCACACTCCACCCTGCTGGGACCTAGTGCAGCCAGCCAGAGCTCCTTCAGGACTGGGCCTTGGGTTTGCGACTCCTCAGTTTCCAAACCTTCACTGGCTCCCTAATGCCCACTGGACATGGCCAAAGCTCCTAGCCCAATGTACAGTGCACTCTGGAATTTAATGTGTCTCTCTACTGAGACTCCAGGAAAACCAAACCACCTTCCTCCCTGTCCACCTCATGCTTCACACAGTGCCCAGTCTGTGAAGCCTCCTCTGTCCTCCAGCCAAACTACCCTCCTGCCTGCAGCTCCTCCTCTCTCCTCCTACTGCAGCCTGCACCAACTTGCCTGTGTCTCTTTCTTCCAAGCCTGGGAGCTAGTGGAGAGCTGAATCTTACCCAACCTCTTGCTTTGACCTGCTGTCTTCCAGCACAGAAGTATCAAATCTTATTTTGAGGTGAAGGTGGCTCAGGCTGCATGCATCCTTACCCCCAAAGCCGCAGGAGACCTGTTAGGAGCCTACACAACCCAGGACTCTCACTTGCCCCCTGAGACCCCCAAAAGGAAGACCTCTCTCCAAGCAGGCATGTAGGAAGGGCCACTGTTCACTTCTCCCAGGCATGGCAGGAGGTACCCAAAGACCTGATTTTCTTGAGAAGTGAAGGGGAAGTAGGAGCCTGTCGTGGCATCTGGATGTCCCCCTACAAAGCCTCATGCAGTCATAGAGAGAGCTTCTCACAGATGGCTGGATTTAGAGTGTGATGCTGGGATCAAAGGTGTGTGATTACTAAATTAGCCCACTAATTTGTTTGGCATAGTTTTGGGTTAGATTAAGGGCACCCCACCCTGGGTATGAGTGCTGCATGCCCCAAGGGCGGGTAACCTGGATAGAATATAAAGGACAGAAAGACAGCTGCGAGCTGCCTTCTGCTTGCTGTGAACTGTTCCCTGAGATGTCCCTGAAACCTCTACAAACTGTGAGCCACAATAAACTTTTCCTCCCTTAACTTTCCATGTTGGGTATTTTGTCTGAGCAACGAGGGAAGGAACTAAGACACAGCTCTGCATTACTCACAGACTCTAGGAGTTTGGGCCCAAGTAGTGTACTGTAAACAGAAACCAGTTCTCTGGGGTGCAGGTCTCCTCCCATGGGGCTCTGTTCCTCCTGCCTCTTCCTGGTTTGCTTCCCCAGGGCCTGAACCCTTTGGGTCACCCACCATTGTCCTTGGCAGGCAGGCCCTGCTTGGCAGAGGCATTCTCTGGGGGTGGGGCACTGTCTGGAGGCCCAAAGGAGAAGAAAAACCTGCTGGATAAGGGGGGGGGGCGCTCTCAGAAGTCTGGTTGTACCCCTAGGTTGAGTCCTATCAGCAAGCCAGCATGGCAGATACTAAGCTGAGTGGTGCTCCATGTGGTTTTTCTGGAGGGCAGGGGTACTCCAGAGCTGAGGTCAGAGAGGGAACCCTTCACCTGGAACCAGACAATTTTTTTGGTACCGAGACTCGAATTTAGGGCCTCTCGTTTGCCAGGCAGGTGCTGTGCCACTGAGCTGTATCCCTGTCTCCCTGGAACCGAACTCTTCTTGCACATCCCAGGGCTTCCTGGACTTTGCTCCTTGCTCCCTGCGCCCGCCCCGCCTGCTCCTGGCCCCCACACCAGGAAGTCGGCATCATGCCTCCCAGCCTCCATCCCTGCCAGCCCAGAGCCCGCCCAGGCAGGCCCAGATTTGCTGTGCTCGGCTGAGACTCAGAGTTGTTAGGAAAGCCCTGCAGCTGGTGAAGAGATTCATTCATGCCTGGCCTCCCTCCCCACCTGGCAATGAGGCTGGCCGGGAGCAGGAAGAGCAGAGAGTGAGCTCATTTTGGGGGTCCTCCCCCTTCTCCTCTGCGCCCCTTAGAGGTCCCTCCTGCTCCTGGCAAAGAAGTCCTTTCTTCTTCCGCCTGTTACTTCCAAGAAGGGGCCTTGGCCAAAGGCTGTGAAAGCCGCTCTGTTCTGGCCTGGGCACCCCTCCCGAAAAAGTGTGACCTCCCCTCGTAGCTGCTCTGAAAGGCTCCTCTGGGTGAGGTGGGGGTGCAAGGCTTTGGGGGGAGGGAGAGCAGGGCCCTCCTACTTGCTGGGGCCAGGACCAGGGCCCTGTCCTCAGCTGACACCACCTGGGGCCCACGCTCTCTGGGAGGGAGGAGGGACCCTGATGCCCCTTTTCCCTCAGTGCTGGCTTCTTCCAGAGCAGCAGGCCCACCTCGACCTTCTCCTAGCCCACCTTCCATGCTGAGTGCAGCACTGTCTGCCCGCAGACCACCACCTGCCCCAGGGGGCCACGGCCACCTGCCTGCACGATGCTGTGGCCCTCAGGGATGTCCTCAGGGACGCTGGCCTCATAGCTGCTCTGCAGGAAGATGGGTCGATTGTCGTTCACATCCAGGACAGTGACAAACACAGTGGCTGTGCCCGTGCGCCGTTTGCCTACGGGGCCATTATCTATGGGAGATGAAGGACAGGTTAGCAGCTGCCCAAGGGGCAGACTTCCTGTGCACAGGGTGGAGATGCGCTCTGCTCTGCCTCACCCATGCCACCCTGTGCCCAGACTCCCTCTGCAGAAGGAGAACCTAACACTATCTAGCACTCATGTAACACCAGGGGCCGGGCATTCTTCTAACTCCTCGGTCCTCACAACTGCTGCAGGAGAGGTCACTATCTTCCCCACTTCCCAGAGGAGACAACTAAGGCTCAGATTGGGAGGGACAGGATACGCCCCAGGAAGCCGTGCATGCTCATTTATTTTGGAAGAGTGGTCTTTGATGATGTAATTAAATTAAGGATGTTGAGAGACCATCCTAGATTATCCAGGTGGGCCAGAAACTCAATGTGTCCTTGCACTAGGATAAGAGAAGGCAAGCTGGGCCTGGGAGGGTGCAGCACCTGTAATCTCAGCACTCAGGTGGCTGACTTGAGCCTGGAGTTTCAGACCAGCCTGGGCAACACAGTAAGTCAGTTTTAGAGAGACCCCAAGACAGAGATAGAGACTGACAGAGAAACGGAGAGACTAAAAAGAGACAGAGAGAGAAAGGAGATTTGGAGCAGAGGGACGGCCAAGCAAAGGTGTGGAGCCACAAGCCCTGGAACACCTACAGTCAGCAGAAACCCTGGTCAAGGGAGACCTCGCCCTGAGAGCCTTTGGAGGGACTGTGGCCCTGCTGACACCCTGTCCAGAACAAGGAGACAACACTTTCTGTTGTTTTAAGCCACCATTTTTTTGACGATTGGTTCCAGCAAACCCAAGCTGGGGTTAAGGACCTGGGTGAAGCACTGGGGTGGACCCTTCACCAGGGTGCTGTCCTTGGCTGCGTTCCAGAGAAGACAAGCAGGACAGAGGCCGGAGATACCAGAGCTTCTGGTTTCTCAAACAAAATTAAACATCGGAATTTTTCAATAAAATATCCTTATTTCTTAGTGTTCACACCAAACTGTCATTCCCTATAAATCATATGAATCAGAGGGACGAAGGTGTGGGTCAGATTCAGCACCAGGGCCTTTTGCATCCAAGGGCCCTGGCCCTGCGTGGCTTCCAAACCTAAAGTACATGAGGACTCTGCAGGACCCCCCGGGCTGTGGAGCGGGTGTCAAGGATGGGAGCCTTGGCCCATGCCTGTCTTCCGTGGAAGTCAGAGCTATGTGTTAAGGTGAGGCGTCACCCAGGGAGGCGCCGGATAGCAGGAGATGGCTGCAGACCAAATGTGACTCCATCCCTCTTTCCCAGCTTGGCTGACCACATACTGGGGTGCAGTTGCCTGCTCCAGGGTGGGTCCTCTCCAAACCAGCCTCTACCATCCTGAGTACCCTGCCAGCTCGCTCCAGCTGGGACACCAGGCTGGGAGGGCCTTTAGAAAGTCAGACACTCTGTCTGCTGAAATGAAGACTGGACTCAGGGGATGATGTATGTGCAGGGTGGCACCCCAGGATGGGAGAAGGCAGGGCAGAGGGTATAGGCACTGCGGGCCACAAAGTGAGATGCAGAAAGCTTAATCCCATCTTGCCCAGAGCTCATTGCAAACACTGAAATGGGCATTCCAGGGAGGACCAGGGGCTCTGGGGGACACAGATCATGTCATACTCTTCTTCCTCTCCTGAGTCTTCAAGGGCTCCTTAGTGCTTGGAGATCAAACACCAAATTTCCAATTCAACATTTTGAACCCACAACTCAGTCCTGCCAGGTGGCAGCCTCTCCTTTCCACTATAGGCCATACCTGAGATAGCTGTGTCTCACTCACCTGTGCCTACCTCTCCCCCCCTGCACATGTGTGTGCAGGCACACACATGTGACCTCCCACCTCCAGGTGTATGCATGAGCTGGCTCCTCTTCCCTGTGAGGCTTGACCACTACTGAAAGACTGCTTGGCCCTCAAAACCTTGGTGGTGACCTGTATTTGCCCATCAGTGCCTCTTGCCCTCTTCTGGGAAGACCGCATCTCTCTGAGGATCCCCCACTCTGACACTGAGGCTTGGGATTCCAGACAGGTGAGGCACCTCAGCTCCAGGGATGGGTACCTCTCCCTGCCCTGGCTGCAAAGAGGGGCTCAGTGGGGTACACAGGAGCTAACCAGAGCTCACATGAGCACTCTGCTAAGATGGAGGAGGAAGGACTTCTTTCCTGCAGCTGCCTTGAACTCAGGATGGTGGCCATCATGTGACACAGAGAGTGAAGGCAGTCACTGCAGACAGGCCTGATGGCATCACCTGAGCCCTGAATCCAGTCACAACTGTGGCTATCCAGGTGGACAGGTTTTGTGAGCTCACATTGCTGAGGTCAGTTCATTTTACTTTTAAAATGTGCAACTCAGAGTTCTAAGTGACTCAAAGGCACTCTGGGATACTGCTTCCTCCAAGAAGCTGCCCTGACCTCTTCCCTGACCTACACTCCTGTCCCCCTCTGTGCCCAAGGCTGTCACGTCAGCCCTTCCCCGGTTGTTCTGCCCTGTGTTGCAGTGACAGTCTGCAAACTGGTCCCCCCGTGGCCCTCATGAAGCTTCTGCCTCACCATCCCATGGTGACACTGGTGCGTGTCTGGTGGCACTTTTTCCACTCCATCTGGAATGATCATGTTGGCATGGTGTACGCAGTGGGCACCTACCGATGGCCTCCAGGACAAGCGTGTATGCAGCCGTGGTCTCGCGGTCCAGGCCCACCACTGTCCTCACCACGGCATCTCGGTAGCCTACGCTGAACTTCCCATCCACATTCCCCTCTGGGGCGGAAGAGAGAGAGGCCTCAGGTCAGGCAGCAGGGTGAGGGGTGGGCCAGGGGAAGGGGCACCTCAGCTCTGCTCCCAAGGGGTCAGGTGGGTCGAGTCAGAGCACACTGTCAGCCTCTGTTTACAGATGAAGACATGGAGCAATCTAGGAGCCCCCTGCCCTGGGGCTCTGCTGGGTGCTGCTGCTGCAGGCCGATGCCTGGAATGTGAGGGTCTAGCGTTGATGGAGTACCTGCTGTGCACCAGACACTGTGTGGCCCAGCTTGCTTAACTTCCCCTTGACTGAGGAGAAAGGGTCCTCGGGTCTCTTCTGGGCTGACTGGGGCCTGGCTCTTCCCACGCTGCCCTGTCTGGCCCACAGAAGCGGCTGGGCAGAGAGCTTGGGTTGGTGCTGTGATACACAGCAGAGTCCAGTGGGGTCATCAAACCTTCCCCAGGCGCCTCATCATGGGGGTTTGGTGAAGATGGCTGAGGAGCCTGGTGCTCCCAGTGGCTCTCAGGGGACCACACAGTGAGGGTGAGGGTGCCCTCTCTGGGTGTGTGGCTCCCTGCGCTCTGGCAAGCAGTATGGCACTCTGGACAGCAGAGGGTGCCACCACACCAGGCTTGCTCCTGGTGTGGTAGAAAACTAGTGGGTTCTCAACAGGTCTTTGGGATCCAAACCCCTTCTGGTGCCGGGGGCTGCAGGTGCTCTTTTGTCCTCAAGGAAAGTCTCTGATCCCCAAACTTTCATCACGCCCTAGTACATGAAGTACTATCTCCAAAGGGCAATCTGGCTTCTACTAGGGCCAAGAAAGGACTAAGATGCAGTGAATGCTGATGGCTGAATCTTGGGCTCATGTTGGGGGTTCTCAGGACCAGACAGGGAAGAGCTCCCTGTGGAGAGGAGGGTGTGGATAGCACAGCTGGAAGGCTGGGACAGTACAGGCTGCAGCAGTGTCAGGGAGGTGGTGTGTAACAAACGCACAGGCACACATGAGAGGGTGTACAGAGGAAAGACTGAGGCCCTAAATGGCTACAGGCAGGCTGAGGAATGTGGAGGACTCCCCCACCTCCTGTGTGCACAGCACATCTCTGGTGGGCCAGGCACTGAAGGGTGCTGAGAAACGGTCCTCTTGCAGGACAGGACACTTTGGGACAGGTTTGCCACTCCCTGCAGATCCTCCCACCATAACATCATGGACTGGCGTTGGCCCACTCTCCATTCTGGGCCAGGCCATGGCCTCATCACTGTCGGTTGCAGCCTGGCAACATCTTTCAGCTAAAACCAGTTCATTTAGGGAGATTAAGCCACTGGTCTCTATGCAAATGGGAACCTGCCTGTGAGTAAAGGGTCCCCAGGAAGGACAGGGGCACACTCCTCCAGTCCCTGCTCATCATCAGTACTTGGAGTGCAGTGGGGACATCAGTCATTCCTTTTTCCCATCTGCACTCCCAGCAGCAGCTTCGGGAGGCCCCAGGGCCAGAGTACAGCCATCAGGTGTCTAGCTGAGGACCAGAGGTGGTCCTCTGGTCCGCCTGGGGCTGTCTGTCTAGGGGACAGAGCGGAGGCCTCACCTGTGATGAAGTAACTGAGCTCAGCATTGAGGCCCACGTCGTTGTCCGTGCAGTTGAGCCAGACTACGCGGAACTCCCGCGGCACATCCTCGGACACTGACACGTTGTACATGGCCGGGAAGAAGGTGGGTGTCTCGTCATTCACGTCCAGCACTGTGGGCACAAGGGTACGGGGCTCGACCAGCTCTGTCTGGGACAAGCCGGCTCCAGGGCAGTTGGCTCCAGCGCCAGACACAAAGGAGAGGAATTTCCAAGGGAGTCACCACCCCTGGTGTCATTTGTGCCAATGCTTCCTGGTCTCAGGCCCAGGGCCCCGGACCAAGCTGGTGCTAGGGCCAAGCTGACCAGGGCTCCATGACCTCCCTCTGTCTCTGGGGTTTATTACTGCTCATGCTGTCAAAGTGGGGAGAGACAATTGCAGAGCGTTTCTGCAGCACATGCCTAATAACAACGGCAAAGATGATTCTAATACAGTTGAGGTCAGGGGCCGCATGTGAGCCCCTCCAGGAGCCAGGCCCAAGCAGAGTGCTGACCTCCAGGACCACACATGGTCCTCATGCACCCTGATGAGCCAGCACTGTCACCCACTGTGGCTGAAGAGACAGAGCTCAGATCAGGTGGTGACCTGTCCACAGCCATGCAGAGACAGAGTAGAGGGGCTGGGATTTGAGAGAGACCCATCCTACTTGTGAAAGAATCCTGGGGAAGATGGCGGGCTTTGAGGAGTTTGCCAAAAGGTTTCTGTTATGGCTTGTGTCTAGACGTCCCCCCAAAGCTTCATGCAGTCATAGGTGAGGCTTTTTCAGAGATGGCTGGGTCTAGAGTATCTGGTGATAGAATTGATTCATAGTGCAATGCCAGACTCAAGGGCACGAGGACTAGGGTTTGAGTGCTACCCACCCTAAGTAGCGTGGATAAGAGATAGAAAGAGCTACGGTCATTCCTGTTGTTTTTGCTGTTTTCTGCCTGCCATAAACTGTGCCACCCTGCCTTGGGGCCAGCTGATTATGGACTGAAACCTCTACAAATTGTGAACTAAATAAACCTTTTCTTCCTTAATTTTGAGTGCCAGATATTTTGTCTCAGCAATGAGAGAAAAGTAGCCAACACAGAATTTGGTACCAGAGAAGTGAGGCTGTTGCTGTGACTATACCTGACCATGTGGTGTAGGAGTCTATGGGAATGGCTTATGGGAAAATTTAGGAAAGGTTCGGAGATACCAGCTAAAAAAGTAGAGCTGGAAAGCCTCAAGCTGTTCTGTAGGGGAGATTCTGGTCAGAGCTCGGAAGACCAAAAGGCTGATAAAAATGATGCCAGGAAAGACGAGGCTTAGGAGTTTTTACCGGGAAAAAGGACTGCACTGGCTGCTGGACCTCAGACAATGTGTGTTACGGCTTGGCAGAAAGTTTGTTTCCATTTTTCTGAGGTTGAGATTAAAGGTGGGGAGCTAATTAGTCTTAGAGAAGAAATTTCAAGTCAGTCTAATGTTGATGAGGTGGCATGGCTATTGTTGGAGGCTAGATAGCCAGATAACTTGGGAATCAAGAGCAAAGAGCCCAGCAGAATGATTTAAAATATTGAGAATCTGGCCAGAAAGAAGTTCCATTAAAGCTGTGGAGATAAAGCAGGGGAGATCTTGACTGACTGCTGAGAAGGAACAGGAGAATAGAAAAGATAGCTTGAGGATATCACAAAAAGCAGCAGGACTCCACCCTTTGCAGCCTCAAAATTGCAAAAGTGAAAGAAATTGTTTTGAGAAGACAGCCCAGAGACCATGTTCCAGACAGGGAAATTGTTGGTCAGGATTTGATTCATAGCTGCTCAACTCCTACAGCCAAGAGAGAGGGAAGCCTGGCTATTGCTCTAGCTGGTAGCAGACCCTGGCATCATCCACACGGTGCTGGGTTTTAGGTGCATGCAAAATGCAAATGTTGTGGGGTCAAGAAGGCTTACACTCACACCTCAGACACAGCCCAGGTTAGTGTCCCAATCTTGCCCTGAGAATTAAAGACACATCCAGAGCAGATAAGACATAAACTTATACCCACATGGAGTGGTGAGCACAGCACCACTGGAGAGCCCCAAGAGGTAAGGGATCTTAGAGAGTCCAGAAAACCCCTAGCCCTCTTCCCAGGGCGGCACTGCCCTTCCATATGGAGCCCAGGGATTCCAAAACCACAGGACAGAGCTGGGGACAAGGCTTCCTGCCCTTGTGGCACAGTGGAGACAGGCTGGCCTTGTGTGAGCAGTGCTCCATTGAGAAGGGCACCCACGGTCGGTTGCTGGCTGCTGGCTGCTGGCTGCTGGCTGCTGGCTGCAGTGAGTGTGGGTTCTCCTCCCACGCCACCCCACTCTGGCTTGGCACTGCCCTGCTCACCACGAATGGTGAGGGTGCTGGTGGAGCTCTTGGTGGGCGTGCCTGCATCGCTGGCCACCACCCGCAGCTGGTACTCAGCGATGCGCTCTCGGTCCAACTCAGTGGTGGTGAGCACCACACCGCTGCTGCTGTTGATGAGGAAGTCCATGCGGGGCCTGCCCACTTGCATACGGTAGGTCACCAGCCCATTCAGGCCCTCATCCAGGTCGATGGCCACCACCTGAGGCAGAGGAGTTGCGGCGTGAGGGTTGGGGACACTGGGGCAGTGCTTCTCACCTAGGAAGGGTCCCTCCTCCCCTTCTCCCACACACGCAGGGCTATGCCAGACACAACTGCTTGCCCTGGAGCCACAGGCTGGTCACTTTCCTCAGTGTCACTGTCAAGAGGCTGAGAGGGCAGCGAAGGTGTCCAGATGGGCTCTCGTCCAGACACATTAAGTGACGCTCAGAGTCTGGGTCCTAGGCAGCTGTTATCTCCAGCAGCCTTGGCCTTCAAACTCTCGGGCACCCCAGGACCCTTCCTTATCCTCCAGATGTCCCCCTGACCCCTGCTGGCTTCCAGGAGTTGAACCACTGAAAGGTCCTTCAGTTATCCAGACCTTAACCCCCGAGGCCACTCTGCCAACAGGCTCCCCTCCCCCTCAGCTGTGACTTACAGGGCAGCAGTGATAGAACCCTTACCCAGCATGTGCAAGGTCCTGGGTTCCATCCCCAGTATCGGGGTGGTGGTGAGTAGACATTGAAGGAAAATGTGTAATAATAATTAAAATGAGAGCTTTGAACTAAGCCAAGACTCTCACTGTGGAGGGCGGTGGACTAATCCACATTCAACAAACCGGACAAGAGGCCTCCCTAGCAGAAATCTTCATTGGTTGTGGTTCTAGATGTTACCAGGGGATCACACAGCTCTTTTCAGAACCTCTCCCTGTTCCTGGGAACTGTTTCCAGGTTGAACGCTCCCCAGCCCACCGTGTGAACCCTCTCATGTGAACTCAGGATTGGCTCAGGTACGCAGCTCTCTCCTGCTGTCCGCGAGCCCCAGAACACTGCGACTGGGGGCTCATTTGCTCTCGACCCTCCCCTCTTTCTTGGCCAACTTGAGGAACAGCTGCTGTGCCCTGGGAAGAGGGGTCCCCAGGAGTGGTTCGCTTCCTTTGACAGGTGGAGAAACTGAGGTACAGTGGGCCAGCATGGTACTGCTAAGGTTGTCCACTACGGTACCCTACAAACAACCCTGTCTTCTCGGAGTGGGAACAGACTACCTCGATCCCGCTGCCTCGAGCATAAATCACGACAGAAACAATGCCCACCATGGCTCCCAGGCAGTCTTGAGACCAGGCTGCTGCCTTCTCTGTGTCTGGCTGGCACCCACAGCATGGCTAGACAGGCACCACCATGCTCTCCATCCCACAGGTTCAGCTGGAGGAGCGCTTCATGCCACGCAGCACACCGGGGGGTGGAGCCAGGATCCACACACACCCAGGCCGGACTCCAAAGCTCATGCTTTTGGTAAAGTCTTGTTTTCTGCAGCACTGGGAATCTAACCCAGGGTCTCATGCATGATAGGCGAGGGCTCTGCCACTGAGTCTACTCCCCAGCCCCAAAGCCCAGGCTCTTAACTATGCGGACTTTCCAGAGTTTCTACATACAAGAATGATAAAAAACACAGTGAACACATTTATTCCACTGTTCGTGCCACTTGCCAAAGCTGTTCCGGAAGTCCTCTTTCATGAGCGTCTTTAGCTGTACTATTGTGACCACCTTGATGCACGGAATCAACTCAAAATATTTACTTTTCATGGTCATTTTGACTTTGGGGAAGAGCCAGAAGTCCCCTGGTGTCAGATCCAGTGAATAAGTTGGAGGACACACTATAATAGTTTTACTACAAGCCTGCATTTCTACTGGATGTCATTTGGTGGCAGCATTCATCATGTTTTTGATCTAAACTTATAGACACTCAGGAAAGGAAAGTTCCAGAACTGCTTCAGAAAGCAGCGGAACGATGGGCTGTGTGTTCACAGTGAAGGGGAGGATTCTGAGGGGCACTGATGACAATGTGTCTTTCAGTGTGACATATTTCCTTTTGGCTTAAACACTTGCTGTCTATTTTGATCACCTCTTGTAGCTCCTGCTTGGCATTATCTCCTGGAAGCTACACCTTCAGAGCCTCCCTAACTAGAAGGACAATAAGCAGGATGCCAAGGGGCCAGGCTCAAGGTGGCTTCTATACGTAAGGTCCACTGCTGCCATGGGCTCACAGGAGACTGGTACACCGGGAGACTGGTGCCCCATGGAGGGTCACCCAGGTGACACATCTGACTGTGTTCTAGAGCCACCTGCAGGACAGCGGCTTGGCCAGACTCCCACAGCCAGGCCCCAGGAAACCCTCTGGGTTGGCTTCCCTCTCTCTTTGCTCATGTTGGCCCTTCCACATCCTTTTCCATCCCTGCACTGCTGCCCCTCCCCCTCCTGTCCTTCCAGACAGTTCAATCCCCTTCCGCCACGGTGCCTTCCAGGGCACCCAAGTCCCCCACACACGGTGGCTTCTGGGTGTGCACCCCCAGGGGCCTGGGTTGCCATCTCTACCTCCCCTGCAAAGAGCTCAGCACAGGGCATGCAAAGTGACCCACTGCCACCTGCTGGCTGGCAGGGACAAGGCGAGGACTACTCACCTGGTAGACGGAAACCCCTGCAGGGGTGCCTTCGAGTACCTCAGCCACGAAAGGCAGGTTCTGGAAGGTGGGGTCGTTGTCATTGAGGTCCAAGAGGTTCACAAACACTGTGGCACTGCTAGTGGCCTTCAGGGGGGGTCTTCCACCTACGGGGGTGTCATGGTCTATGTTGGTGGCCCCTAGGCCTCATGCCTTTGCATTATGCATATGTGATTGGTTCATTGACTAGTGCTTGGATTGGGGTGTGAGTGCTACACTGGCCTAGGGGTGGAGCCCGGATGTGATGTAATGCCAGGAAGAAGGGGTGTTTTCCTCTCTTGGCGGTTTCTGCCTTGCTGTTGGCAGCCGCCATGAACTGCAGCCCAGCCATGCCACCCTGCCTTGGTGCCAACTGAGTATGGACTAAAACCTCCAAAAACTGTAAGAAATAAACCTTCCTTTCCCAACTTTGGGCACCAGGTATTTTGTCTCAGTGACGAGTTAAAAGTAACTAAGATGGGGGGCAAGGTAGAGAAGGGATCATGGAGGAAAAGATAGGAGGTGGGGAAAGGGGGCGGGAGAAAGAGAGGATGGCAGATTCAGCGTCCCACCCCAGAGGCTCCCCTGCTGATCCCGTCTCCCTGCCTGATCCCTGCAGTCCGCAGGGTGCTCTGGGGGGTCACGCCTGGGGTGTGGTCACTACTCCACCCTAGTGATCTGACACAGCCCTCCTCGTTAGGCCCCAGCCCCTGAGAACCAGGCACAGCGCAATGTCCCAGCCCAGAGGGTCAGAGCCACGACCCAAGCAAGCAGGGGCTTCCTACAGTCAGTGACAGAGACGATGATCTTGCGCATCAGCTCGGCCTCCACCGGGTCGGGGTTCTCGCGGTCCAGCATGACGTGCGTGGTGCGGATCTTGCCCGTAGTGCTGTTGAGGCTGTAGAACTTATTGGGCAGCTGAATGCTGTACACCAGGGTGCCGTTCTCCCCCAGGTCTGGGTCCACTGCCACCACCTGTCCAGGGAGGGAGCAGATCTCTTCCCTGAGCCACATGCTGGCCTGGGCACCACCTGCTCAGAACAGGGAGGCCAGAAGCTATAGCTGCAGCAGGGAGCTTGGGACTCTAGGCCAAGTCCTACGGGCAGAAGTGGGGTAGTGGCCCTGTCCTCGCTGAGGACCATACCAGCTCTGGTGTATCGTATGGCACCAGCAGGCACCTGTGACAGGTGGTGCCTGGTGTCTGTTAGGCATCAGGGCCTCTCCACACCTTGTCATAGCCTTATGTAGTGAATATCTATAATTATGCCCATTTCAGAGATGAGGCTCAGTGAGGTTCCCAAGCTCCCGAAGCCAGGGGAGCAGCAGAGCTGGTATCCCATTCAGGGTTCCTCCAGCAGGCGTATCCCAGAGACATGCAGAGACATTCAGAGAACAGGAACCCAGCAGGTGCTTCACTGCAGAGTGTGGCTGGGAAAGTGGCTTGGGAGTCTGCACCTATGCTGAGCACTGGAAACGGTGCCATCACCAAACACTCCCTCTCTTCCTCTGGAGTTTCTGACTATAGGGCAGTGTACAAAGAATTGGGCCTCTGTGATACCAAGTGACAGGCCTGGGCTAGGCCCCTGTTTGGAGGGACCACAAAGCCCAGAGAGGCACAGGGCAGACTCCAGGTCCCACAGCACCAGCCCCAGGCCAACCCAGCCCCAGGATGGCAGTGCCCTCCCCCTTAACTGCGGAACACTCAGCAATGCTGGCAGGGCTATGCCAGGCCCTTCATCTTACTTGATGTGGGGACTTTATGCTTTGGCAGCAAAATCTGTCCCTTTTCTGGCTTAATCCCCAGCCGGAGGTGTCTCTAGGGCCACCAGACCAGAACAGACAGATGGGCTGCCCTGTCCCTGGCCTGGGGAGGCCGAGGAGAGAGGGCCAAGGCTGGGCTGTACCTCCACTGAGCCCTTCTTCTAGAATAGAGTTGGGGGCACCCAAGTCCCACACCAGGCCGCTCCTCCTTTCCTCCCCTGTCTTGTTGACCTACGGGTGGGGGTCTCCACCTTCCAGGCCTAAGACACCCTTATCATGCCAGGGGCACAGTGCCTTGTTGCCCACAGCCTCCATAACGGGACCCCATCACCCCTTTCTACAAACAGGAGAAGAGGCTCTTGGGCCCATAGACATGATTCAAGCCAGGCCATCATTTCCCCAATGGATGGGGCCACCAGCATCCCTGTGTGTCTCTCTACAGTTAAAGGAGGGATGGAGTTTTTATCCAGTTTTTCTGGGTGGGGAAACTGAGGCTCAGGGCACAATGACACACCCAGGGAAGGACATGAGATCAATTTCCCAGTGGGACAGCTCTCTTCTCCCCCTGCCGCCCTGGGCCACAGGCTGCCTCCTAGCTGGGGTGACACTGGCTTCACCTCTTGGCCGTGGAGAGCCAGGGGAGGGAACCCTCCTGCGGGGTCCCTGCTGGGCAATTCTGCAGAGGTCCCCCACTTTCCCCTCATTTATTTCCCATTTCACGCTTGTCATTTTTCTCCTGGCCTGACGAGGACTGATTCTCCTCCTTTCCCGTGCCTTTATTTTGCTGGAGGTCTTTGAAAGGCTCTAAATCAATGTCCACCAGACAGGTCCTTGAAGAAGCTTGTGGGTGCCAGTGGAGAGAGCCGGGCCACACGCTCCCTGTAGATGGAGATGGTCACCCCACAAGTGGGCAGCCTTGCCCCACTGACTCAGGAAGAGGCAGGTGCACACCTGGGGACATCACGGGGCTGGATGGCCCGGGGCCTCAGCTTTTGGGGCCAGAGCCAGTGTGCCCGCTAGAGGGAGCCCTTGGGACAGCCTGAGCCATGTGTCTAGCATCCTACAGCCAAGCAAGCAGCCCCAGCTAGAGGGAGCTGAAGGCTGAGCCGGGAGGGGCCAAAAGGTCAGCTATTCATGTTTTGAAGTAGTCTGAACACTCACAATGTTACTGGTAGTGGGGGTTCAACAGTAACCATGGCAGAGGAGACTGCGGTGGAGGAGGAAGGTACTGATGGTGACAGCTGATATTTATCGATCATTCCCAAGTGCTGACCACAAACAACTCAATCAGGCCGGAACTTTCACTAGCCCTGTTTTCTAGAGAGGACTGAGGCACAGAGAGGCTAAGTAACTTGCCCATGGTCACACAGCATGTAAGAATTATAGCTGGGATTAGAACCTAGAGCCGAGGCTGCCCACATGGCTCTGAAGGAAAGTGTGGTGAGGGGCAGAGGGGATATTTCAGTCTTGGGACAGGCAGAGGAGACTGAGCCAGGCAGGGAGGAAGGGTGAGGAGGAGAGGGAGCAGAGCCTCAGGGTGAGTGGGGCAGTTTGTGCAAAGGATCCAAGGTGGGGAAGAGCTGAGTGTGCAAGAAACTGAAATGCCAGTGTATGTGCGCGCGTGTACAGCTGCACACATGTGCTGGGGGCCGTGGGACAGAGGTGGGCCAGCTCCATGGGGATATCATGTGTTCTGTCACCTGGCCCTCTGGGCAGGTCCCAGCCACACCCTGCCTCACTGTGACAGATGCTCCTGGGGGCCCTCAGAGGTATCAAAGGCTATGCATATGTGTGCACATGGGGGGCATTTAAAGGATTTTTATGATTATCCTCTTTGAATGATTTGACTATGCCCCACTTGCTTAACATGCAAGGTTCTTGATTATTCTGGCAATTCCATAAAACATTCTCAAGAATTCTAGAAAATCTAATTTAGACTTTGTCCTTGGGTATAGTGAGACTTCCCCTTTCCAAACCTGTCACATTACCTTTGGCAGATGTTTAAAAGCCAATTTTTAATTTTAATTTTGTGTATTTCTCTGTCTCTGTCTCTCTCTTTCTATGGTACTGATACTGGGGACTGAATCTAGGGCCTTTACACAGAGTTAAATCCTCAGCCATTTTTTTTTAAATTTTCAGACAAGGTCATGTAACTACCTGCATTGCTCATCCTGGGCTTGAACTTGTGATCCGCCTGCCTCAGCTTCCCAGGATGCTGGAACAACTGGTACATAGCACCACACTTGCCGGTCCTGCGCTTTTCTTTTTGAATTTTTGAGTCATTGCTTTCTTTGTTAGGTTAAAACATAACCACAGGGAAGTGCAGCGCTCCAGTGCCTGTCCCTGCACCCATGCTGTGCCTGAGGACAGCCGTGCCACGCTGTGCTGAGAGGGACACACATCGCCGCCTGCTTGCGGGTGAGGATGGGGCACATCCTGGGCTGTGAGGGCTGGCAAGATGGATCTGAGAGGTGGTGGATCTGAGAGGAAGGGTGACCTGAGGCTCCCTGAAGACAGGGGAGGTTTTGTTGCTTCCTGTGCCCTATCGTGTCAGTGTCCTGCATGCTTGGCACACGGTTGGCACTCAGTAGGGCTGGTAGAGGCCTCTGCAGAGTGAGGAGGCTCTAGGCGGTACCCCCAGACCGTGCCATGCTTGCCCAGGGCTTGGAAGGATGAGAGGAAGCCTGGAGGCCGGAGAGGGCCACGCTGGATCAGAGCTCAGCAATGCCAGGATCCGGGGCGTCCCCACCTGGCACACCTCTGCCTTGCAGGTGGACACTGATCTTGGCACCCTGGCTGGGTCCCTGGCTGGTGTCCCAGGCATCCAGTTCCTTGTAGGCAACTCCCTCACCGCCCCAGTGCCCTTCAGGAGGAAGTCCCCAGAAGCACAGGCTAAGCCAAAAATGAACAGGTAGGTTTCTGAGGTGGGTTTCCAGTACCAGCTCTGGGGGTCTTGGCTGTGGGCAGGCAGGACTGGTTTGGAGTCAGGGCCCAGGTGGCAGTAGAGCGCTCACCAGACCGAGAGCCTGGGGTAGGGGTAGCACACCTGGGCCCGGTGTGGAAGTTACCCCCCACCGGGATTTTGAGAAAGCACAGATCCCAGAGCCCTAGCCCCTGCCCGATTGTACTAAATCTCGGGGGTGACACTCACACCAACTTAGGGCCATTTAGCTTGAGGACATGGACAGGAGGCCAGGACAGGGTGATGACCAAGCCCTCTTCTCTTAGAATCCCTCCTCCAGGGTGACATTCTCTCTCACCTGGACCCCACTAGGGCCCAAGGGTGCTGGGGTTCAGGTGGGGCTGATGGCAGGGAACCCCGGCATATTTCTCAGCCTCCATGACCATCTCAGAGCTGGCTGGGAGGAGGAGGGGCTGGATATCTGGGGATCAGGCTTGTCAAATGAGACTGAAGGAGGCACAGGGTAAGGGAGGAGAGACTGACAGATGCAAATCTTGGAACAGAGCAAGTGGAATGCTTATTCTGTCCCCTTGGCTGTCCCAGGAGGCCAGAGGCCTCCTGCTCTACCTCCTTCCACCCCAAGTGGCAGCCCTGCACAAGGCACCTGGACACACATGCACACAGTACACATAGGTGTGAACCTGGCTGGTCCTGGGCTAGAGGGTTCTGGGAGTGACCTTTAACCCCTGCTGGGTCATCTGGGCTAGTGCAGGGGCAGAGCTGAGGTGGGCAGTCTCTTGAGGTCTTGACCAGAGTCTGAGTGTCTCAGGACAAGTGTGGCTATGAGCTGAGCTAATCCCGGATCCCTGCCAGTGTCCCAGGCTGCTGGCAGCTCCCTCTGATAAAGCCTGACACCAGCTAACACTGAAGGCAGAGGTAAGGTGTCCTCCACCTCTGACTCCCTTTCACCAGTCCTCCTAAAACTGCTCCAAGAGCTACTTCGGGGAAAACAACAAGTCCATCAGCCCCCTTCAAGCCAGCCGGCCTTTGGGGTTGAGGAGGGAGCCACCCACCACTGTCCTCCCACCTACCGTGGTCACATCAGAGTCTGGGGGTGTCATCTCCACCAGGTTGATGTAGTAGGGAGCATCCTTCCAGGTCGGGTGGTTGTCATTGATGTCCAGGAGGGTGACATTCACCTGTGGAGCCACAGGATGGGGGTGCTATGGGAGCCTCAGAGGTTTAAGGGGCATCTCAGCCTCAATTCCCCAAATGTGGGCGCCATGGGCAGGCCCTGGGATTTTGAGGACAGGATGGTGCCAGGTCTCTTCAGGAGGAGAGGGCTCATGTGCTGTCCCATTAGGAGGACTAGGTGATACCCGAAATCCTTGCTATGACTGGGGATTTACTCACACAGAATCCCTTCTGCTTCTCAGTCTTAGCTACAAGCCAAGCAATTTCCCGGCTCACCTGCCACCAGGTGAATTATTTATAGAGCCCTGATTCCTGTTAGCAGAGCTTTCCTTGACAGAGGAGGGCTCTGTGGGTCTTCTGCCAAGGCCCCAGTCAAGTGACAACTACCAAGGCCCCAGCCTCTGTGGCTGGGCAAGGCTGGGGGGAGGACTACGGAGAACAGTCAGGAGCCCCCACCCCCAGGAACCAAGTCAGCAGCCAGGAATGAGGTCCCTCCTCCCGGGTTGAGGGGCAGGATTCTGGCTTCGGCTTCCTGTAGGTGCTGAGGCAGAGGGGCCTCGGGGGCTCATGCCTTCTTCCACCTGCCCAGTGGCCCTTCCAGGGACAAGCAGAACACTGTTGTCACCCCCACCCTGCTGCCATCCCAGGGCATCTGCTCCTCACTCCACCTCACAGTGCCTCACAGTAGCTGGGTGACACAGGAGGGGGCACTCACTGTGGCGATGCCTGTTTTCTGATTGTGGCCCACACCGCCGTCCACGGCGCGGACAATGAGGATGTACTCCGACTTGAGCTCGCGGTCCAGCAGGGACGTGGTGGTGATTTCGCCTGGCGGAGGGAGGAGAGTGACAGGGAAGGTTCGGTGAGGAGGAGCGGGGAGAGCTCGGGTTCGGGATGTCTGCGAGCCTCAGGATGCAGCTGGGTGCATGCGTGTGTAGTGGTGGTGACGTGGTTCAGAAGGGACTGCAGCTGTGGCTTGGGACTGGGACCCCGGAGCTGGGCAGTAATACCCAATATGAGGTGTTTGCAGGTGTGGAACATTTAGGCCAGTTCTGGGGGGCTGAGGGTGCAGAACAGGGGTCGCTGGCCTTGCGCTCACCTTATAGCTCAGGCTTGTCTGGGAACTTACAACAATCCTCCTGCCTATTTGCTTTTTTTTTTTTGGTCTTTTTCCTTTTTATCGGGATCGAACTCACGACTACCTGCTTGCAAGGCAGGTGCTTATGCCGCTGAGTTAAATCCTCATCCCCCCCTATTTGCTTTTTGATTTTGCTGTTTTCTCTTTTTTCTCTTTAAAACAAACAAAAAGATTAAGTAACTACAGGGGATGCTTCTGTTCAGAAAAGAATCATGCCCTCTCCATGCTCTGTGAGAGTCCCAAGGACAGGGACTCTGTGCAGTTCATCTTTTCATCCCAAGCTGTGTGACCTGGGACAAGCTGCCTAACTTCTCTGTGAAAACAAGGACGCTGGGCCAGGTGGGCCTGACACTTCCCTCCCTTGCACACTGGCCTGTCCTCTGGTTGTCACCGGGAGTTTACAGCGAGCAGTGGTAAAGGACGAGACGGCCAATAGGTCAGGAGCCAAGGCTGCAAAGGCTGCCCAGTGAGCCACGCTCCTCACTGGGGTGGTGTCAACTAATTGGCCAGGCGAGGAAGAAATTAATCTCTAAAAAGTTTTAAACGTGAACTTGTCAGCATGATCGATGGGCTCTCTTGTCTGGGAAATTAGATCCAATTAAGGCCACCTTTGTGCAGCAGGCCTGGCTAATGTGACCCAGGAGCTCGGAGGAAATTGCCTCCCCCTTTGGGGCTGGAGGTGCCTGGTGAGGGCAGCAGCAAAAGCCTGTGCCATGGTTCCAGGCCCTGGGTGAGGGCCGGAGCCCCTAACATGGACTCGCCGAGCCGCTGCTGCGGGCGGGTGGTGGGATGTGACTCTAGTGTGGCTTTATGTGACACAGAGTTTAAGCCCTGCGCTCTGGAGCCAGCAGCCCAGGCTCCGAGTTCCCGACGAAGTTGTTAACCTTTCCTGTGCCTCAGTTTCCTCTTCCTCTGGAAAGCGGAGATAGTGGAGGAGGAAATAAGATGATGCTGCTTGGAGAACTGAGAATGGTGGCACCAGGCGCGTGGCTCATATTAATGACACCATCTCTACATCTGCAGGGTCTGCATTTCCAGATGCCACCGACTACAGATTGGAAACAAATCGCTGACCATGGACAGGTTTTTGTCTTGTCATTGTCCCCTGAGTGATACATCACAACTCTTTACGTAGCTCTCACATTGTCTTAGGCATCATCAGGAACCTAACGGTGACTCAGTGCATGGAGATGTGCTGGGTTACATGAAACTCCTCCGCACTTCACAGAAGGGAGCTGGTCTCCACAGGGGTCCTGGAGCCTGTCCCTGCAGGTGCTACGGGATGACTGTGCCACTCTGGGCTTCTGGAGACGTGGCTTGCTGAGGTGGGTGCTCCTGAGAGCAGGTGGGAGGCTCTGTCTTTCCAGAGGTTCAAGCAGAGGCTCACGGCCCCCCTCTTCAGGCCATGCAAAGCCCCACTAGCCAGCCGTCTGCCTCCGAGCACCCAGGGCAGGGAGATGGGGTCAAGGGGAGACTGAGGGCCCTCTTCCTCCTCAGCCAGGTTAGCATGGAGAACCATGGGAGGCCTTTGAGCCCTCCTGGGCTGCTGAGCACCTGTGCTAGGGTGGCCAGTATCCCCCAGAGATCCTAGTCCTTTACATGCCAGATGTGGCTCCAAGGCACTGACCGTTGGAGAGAACTACAGTGACTCCCTTTGAATGCAAAACAATTATTGTGACTTTGATTATTTGGAGACTCATTTCCTTATAATGATATGTAAAAAGCTGGCTAGGGTATTTCCTTCTCTCTTCAATTGGCTCTGAGCATTGCAAATAAGGCTAGCCAAGGTGCTAATATGCAGTCTCTATAGCCAACAGACAGTCCTGTTTCCTCAAATAGTGTTCTACAATACAGATATGTGCAGGATATGTTAGAGCAAACAGCTCCAGGAATGTCAACTGGGTAGAGCCCTGAGATAAGAGGCTATGACTCCCCAGAGCACAAGAGCTAAAGGATAACCCCCCAAAGCAATTCCATTGGCTACCTTAATTGGATTATGTAAATTGATCGTTCTGCATATCTTTATCTCTGCAATTTACAGAGAAGCCATTCTTGCACCTGGCCAGCCAGCTCAACTCACTCACATAATTCCTGCCATCCTGACTGTCACTCATTCCTGAGCCAACTCCCTTTCTTCACAAGATAATAGATTCTGGGAGAGGCTAGGACCAAGGCCTCTGTCCGGATGTCCTCATGAGGATTGGATTTAGGACCCCTTGGCTGCCCTTAACTTGGAATATGTCTTGGTGTCTTTACCCTCACCATGGTTTACCTTGGTGGTGGTAGATTGGAATTAACTTGCTGGGATTATAAATATAACTTTTTGGATTGTGAGGAAGACTAGAGAGAGGATTACAATACTTGGATGACTAAACTTGATATTTGGGTTTACAATAATGGACCCCATGTCCAGCTGTCCTAGCATCTAGGTGAGACCACTGCCTAACCTGGCCAATATCTGATATATGTCACTCCCAGGCCTGGCACAGAAACTCTGCCTGGCACAATGCCCATGAGTCCTTTTCCTTCTGCAAGGATGTCAGACCCATGATCTGAAGGGGTCTGGCCAGACAGGGCATCTGCTAAAAACCTGTCCTGGGCAGCTGTGCTGTGGAAAGCCACTGAGGCATTGGGATTCCCTGCCTCGTGTCTGGACGGGGCTCCCTGAGCTCAGACAGGATCTTGTATCAGGAAGCGAGGGCTCTGCACACCCATGAAGCAGATCTGGAACCACAAGGGCTGCATCCTGCTCCTCCCATGCCCACCCCTGGCCCCGAGCAGGCCCCACTGCCTTGGGAGAGAACACAGAGGTCCTGGATTCCCTCCCGGGCTGGCGGGACAGCCTGGGCTCCTGTTGCTCCTTTCTGCTCCTCTTTCCCCAACTGCAAGAGGGAAAGAGAGCAGGAGGGAGACAGAAGGAGATGAAGAAGAGTTACATGAGCAGGAGCTGGGGGCGGGTGTGCTCGGTGGATACACAAAATAAAGAATGGAATCACTTTTCAGCAGATGGCAAAAGCTATTCCAACTGTGTGCTCTATAGTAACTCATTTCATCTCATCTACTCCACAGCCCACAGGTGTGTACAAAGAGGAGCCAGGACCCCAGGACGTGGAGGGACACTTAGGTATAAGTAAACACGGGGACCGGAGTCTGTAAGACGGCACACAGGTAGACCTAACAGGACTCATCAGCCGGAGGCATCCTCCTGTGGCCACATTCACAGGGTGATTATAGGGTAAGAAGGAGTATTTCAGGGATGACACTGCATGCTCAAAGACACGGAACAGGAGGAGACCCCCGTCGGTCTGGTCTGAGGGTGGCAGAGCGTAGACTTGGGGCTCACCGGAGCGGGCGTTGATCCGGAACTGGACAGAGCCCTCCAAGGAGTAGATGATGGACTCCTGGCCATACTCCCGGGAGCGATCCAGGTCTGTGGCATTCAGGAACAGCACTGTGGCTCCTTCGGGAATGAAAAGGTGTTACTCACTCTGGGCCCACAGTCCCAGTCCTCGGAGCTGGGCCCTGAGAACCTCGCAGTGACCAGCCTCAGGGCAGTGGGGGCCACCACTCTTGGGCCCCAGAGCCCTGATCTTTGCGGGGACAGGATGGACACAGTTCCATAGGAGAATGAGGCTGTCTCCCACCTTCCCCTCTTCCTGGTCCAACCTCAAAGCAGAGGGCTACTTCCCTAACCGGTCTGGTTGACCTCCGAAATACACACACGCAGACCGAATAGCTTTTACATTCAGCCAACAAGAAATGAGGCTCTGTATTCAATTATTCTTCATTTATTGCATCCAATTTTGGTCCTGTTTTATCTTGTTCACAGGGGAACTTACAAGGGTTTTTATTTTCTCATTAATGTCCAGTTAAGGCCTTCACCTTCATTTCCATTTACATGAATCCTGAGTCAGAGATAAGCGTTTCCCACAGACCTGGCGAGACCCCAGGAGTAGCTTGTTCGGGGCCACGCCACCTTGTCCTCCAGGGCCACAGCAGTTCCTGGCAGGCTGTGTCTCCAGGGGAAGAGTACATCCTGGTGTAAGGGGTGGTTGCCAACCTGCCCAAGCCAGAGCATATGCCCTGGAGCCTGCTGGTGCCCTGCAGGCTGGGAACATGCTTCAAGGCCATCCTTCACGGCTCTTAGGGCCTGGGATGCCCTGCACGCTCCAAATCCAGATGGCCTGGCTAATCCTCTATCCTTACTCTCTTCCTGCTAAACAGTAGCTGCAGGAGAGCAGGGACCCGGTATCCAGCAGAGGGTCTGCACAGAGTAGGTGCTTTGTAAATAGCTGTTAGCTGGCTGATAACCAGACGGCCACAGTGGCCTGACTTGTCACAGGCTGCCTGGCCTCAGAAACAGAGAAGTCACAGGCCCTGTGACTTCCTGCTGTCTGCCCCGGGCCCCCACCCTGCCTGGCTGATACCTGCCATGATGTTCTCCACCACCGAGACGAAGTAGGCGGGCTTGCTGAAGGTGGGGGGGTTGTCATTCTCATCCTGGAAGGAAAGCAGATGCGTTGCAGCCGCCAGCTGTCCCAGGCCAGGTACACTGCCCTGAGAAGCTCTGACCAGGTGGGGCGAGGGCGCTAGGGGGCCAGGGGCTCCTCTGGCACGCCAGGCCTTGGGGAAAACTTGTAGGGTCATGAGGGGGGTGCTGAGGGACAGGAGATGGAGAGTGAAGGTGACAGTTGGGCTTGAGCACAACTTGCAGTGCTCCAGGTTCTCAGCCAAGCTTCCTGCTGAGTGCCAAGCTCTGTCCAGGGCTCCAGCTCTCCAGTTACCAGTCCAAGCTGGGATGCCCGCTTGGCCAAGATCATGGTACAAGTTTCTAGGAACCTTGCTCAAAGGGACAAAGGGGTGTCCCCAAACCCAAAGGCTCTGAAATGGACAGGGGCAGACTGTGATCAGCTTGTTCCCAGAGCTGGGTTCTTGCCTGACACTGGCAGGCTTTGGAGCACTCTGTCCTCTGGGACAGCCTTCACCAAGCCCAGTGCAGGCTTGGCAGATTGTGTGTGTGTGTGTGTGTGTGTGTGTGTGTGTGTGTGTGTGTGTCTGGACCATGCAGGGAGGTGGGGAGGCTCCATCTCGGGAGCCTGGACCGGATGCAGCCCTGCCTCCTCCAGCGCTGCTGTTCCTCCACACCTGTCCTGTCCCCTTCAATCAAGGCACCTTCCTGCCTTGAAGACGCTCAGCCTTTCCAATGGCTTTGCAATTACTCACCAAGAAATCCTCCCTGTCCCCTCTTCTAGGGGTCTCTCTGGACCCTTGGGTGCTGAGCCTTCTCACCCCCTCCCCAACCCTGCAGAGCACAGTGCAGAGCTCAGGAGTCTTAGTCTGGGGAAGGTAGGACCTCCCCCAGGCCTGCCATGGGCTTTGTCTCTCACGCAACAGCAGACCGCCAAGCCAGGGCGGGGTGGGGGTCACTGTGGCTGAGCAACCAGGAAGGAGATGAAGACATGTGATCAGCTGTCCTCCCCTTGGGACTCTACAGAAAACCTCAGCCAGCCGAGACCGTGGGTGCCCAGAAGGGAACCCTCCAATTCCTCTCACTGCATGCAGGCTCCTGCCAACCTGCCCCTCTCCCCTGGAAACTGGCGGTCTCAATCTCTGGACCCCATAATGGGCCATGTCTCACTGCACACCTGGCCTCTGCTTGCCCCTGATGTGGACAGAGTGCCCCATCTGCACACAGCGAAGCTTCCGCTTGGCCGCATGACACGCGCCAAGAATGTCAGTGACAGAGAGCGAGGTAGAAACTTATTAGCAGTGATATTTCTCTGGATCCTGCGCTGCATTCGCTATTAGTTCTAATTCAGCGGCTCACTCTACGAAAGCTTATTGTCCCCTAATGGGAAATCTACAAACCGAGTTTGACTTCTTTATTAAAAACCAACATGCAGTGGAGGAAAAGGAATCACCTGGCCCCTCTCACCTGCTCCTCCTGCTCTGATCTGCCCTCCCCACTCCCAGCCTTTGTGGTAAGAGCTCCATCAACTACCAGGCTTTCCTCTTTTAAATTTCCCAATTGAGAGAAAATCCTTTTGGTGGAGGGACGAGGCAGCTTAGCCAAGTGACAGCTACTTAAAAACCACCCACGTGCAAAATCAACCCACAGGCGGTGACCTTTTCAAGTGTGGTCCTTAGACAGGAGTGACGATGCTGTCCAAAATGCCATGTGTACTCACAACCGCGGTGGCCCCTGTCTTTATTGCTGGCCCTTCTGGCTGCAGGGGTTGCCGGGGGGACTTGGGAGGGAAGTGCAAGCCCCCCATAGTGTTCAGGAATCTGACAGCGGGGCCCCTTCTGTACTGCACCAGGCAGAGTGCTGTGCCACTTGCCCTGCACACGGAGTCCCCTCCCTGGGACCAGGGAGGCTGCTGCCCACTGCTGTACAACAGTGGCCCCTCCAGGGGCAGGGGCAGGTTAGGACAGGTCTGGGGTGTGAGGCTGTCCCTGGGGTAGGGAGCAGACTTCCAAACCCTCATGACTCTGAGTGGGGTCCTGACCAGCTCAAGCCATGTGCAGGCACCCGGCCTGGAAGGTCATGCAGGGGTGTGGAATGACTGTCACTAACACTCAAGACGCTGACGGGAAGAGGGGTGTGAGGCAGGTACCAGATTGCCCCCATTTAGCAGATGTGGAAAATGAGGCTCACAAAGGTGGGAAACCCAACCCACACAGCTAGGGGGCAATGGAGCTGAGCTCAGAGCCACAGGCAGGAGCCACAGCTGGCTAGGAGGGGTGGGGTGTGCAGGGTAACAAGTGTGGCCAGAGGCAGGGAGGCTTGGGGTCAAGACCAGGAAACCAGGGTCAGGTTTGTGAGATATGGCTGGGGTCAGGGCCATGATGGAAGCAGTGTTTTAGGGCACAGGGCATGTTCTAAACTCATGACAGGCCAGTTCTGGGGCTCCTGCAGATGAGATGTCCTCTTCTCTTTCCTGCCACTCCCTGAAGCCAGAGTGCACAGCACAGTGACCCTAGAAGCTGGCCCCAGCTCTCTGGGGTTTTCTTTGCTGTCCTGGTCCTGCGAGGCCTCTCCCTTCCTGCTCCCTATTACCTACCTGGAGGCTCCTAAGGCACGGTCTTGATCTCTCCCCACTCCTGACTCTCTATCCTGTTCAGCAAGGAATAGGGTCTCCTGTCCCGATGGAGACCTTCCCACTTGAGAGGTGGCCCTGGGGCTTGGGCCCTGGATGGAGAGGTCAGTGTGGGCCAGGTGTGACAGCGCATGCCTACAAGCCTAGCACTCAGAAGGCTGAGGCAGGAGGATTCCTAAGAGTTTGAGGTTAGCCTGAACTACATAGTGAGACCCTGTCTCCAAAAAAAAAAAAAAAAAAAAGTGTGGAGCTGCTGCATGAGAGGCTGCTGGCAAAGCCGCCTGCTCCAGGGCGAGATTTTCCCATACTTATGTCAAATCACAGCATATCTCCAAACCTGACAATCTGATTTAATCCCCTGAACTGATAATGCAGTAACTTCCCTGGACACAAGCTCGCCCTCTCCTGGAGATGGTGGGCAAACCTGTGTGTGCAGGGGTGCGCAGGGCCTCAGGGGAGAGCCCACCCGTCCCTCCCCTCTGCAGGTCACACTCTGTGTCCTCGGCATCGCTGGGGGATCGGGATCAGCACCGGCAGATGAAGCTGTGCGGAGATGGATTCAGTGACTGATAATTTCCGACATGGAAAGCACGGAGGCACGCTTGGTATTCATGTCAGACAAGCCGGGCTCCGCTTCCAGCCCCTTTATGTCCTCAGAGGAGCGGGAAGGGAAAGACAAAAGGAACAGAGACACGCAGAGGGGTGGAGGAGGGAAGATGACCTTCCGGCCACTTCCGTGAGCGTCACAGAGCGTGACCGTTAGTGGAGGAGCCCGAGGCCTTTCCTCCCAGCCTGTCTCAGGGTCCCGGGGTCCCACGGAGTCAGAGCGGGGCCATCTGTCCTCCCGAGATTAAGTAGGCAGCAGCTTAGCGGCCGCAGCAATGGCAGAGGTTGGTGAGGGACAGACCTGGGACGGTCTGAACTGTGAAGACGTGGTCCCCATCACTCCAGGAGGCTCTCGCCACCCCTGAGTACTTACAAACACCTCGATGGTGACCGGGACAGTGCTGTGGAGAGGTGGGTTGCCAGCATCCTTGGCCATGACCGTCAGGTAGATCAGTCCATTGGGTATCTGCTCGTAATCCAGGGGGCGGCTCACGCTGATGACTGGAATTGACAAGCACAGGGCCCAGACCTCAGTGCCCAGCAGGGCTCCCCTTTGAGCAGAGAAGGTGCGGCTAGCATGGCCCATGTCACATCTGCCTTGTTTCCCCCTCTAGCCTCCCAACATCTGGAACCTCTTCCTGCTCTTAAGTTTGTTGACTGGCTAATCTGTACCAGGCACTGTGCTAAACCCACAAGGTTGTCACTCTATGGTGGTGAGCAAAGCTTCCCCTTACAGAGGGAGCAACCTGACCCAGCTGAGAGAAGCAACTGAGTTTGGTAGCTTGCCAGAGGAGCTTAGGTCTGGCCACATCCAAAACAATGACACTCTATTGCAACTTTTTGTGTGAACATGCGAAATAGCATGACTGCTTTAGTAATACAAAATCTAACTGGGGGTTCTTCTAGCAGCAAAGAGGGTCAGGTGAGGGGGTGGGCAGAGTCCTGGGACTTTTCTCTTTCTCTCTCTCTTTTTCAATAAGGTTGGGATTGAAGCCAGGGCCTTGTGCATGCCAGGCAAGCTCTCTCTCTCTGAGCTGCACCCCCAGCCCTGGGACTGCATTTCTTTAACCGTATTTCTTTGATACAACTGTGGGGTGAGGGGAATGAGGCAGACTCAGGATCTATCGCACGATGCAGTCTGCCTGGGGGTCACCGAGCCCAGCCCTCCAGCTCGAGGGAGCTTCCCGGAGAGGAGGGGTGAAATGAGCCTGTAAAGAGGGAGACAGATCTTTTTCAAGTGGGAGGGGACCAAGTGACAGAGGGAGGGGGAGGGGACCTAAGAAGAATTAAAATGTGTTAAGTACATGGACCGACTTCCCATGGTGAGTGTAATCGTCATGTACCACAGTCAGAGGCTGGTGAGCTGAAGGTACAGAGAGGCAGGGCGGAGAGGCCAGGAGAAACGGCCTTCCTGGCAGGACAGACCCAGCAAGGACATAGGTGATCGCTGAAAGGGCAGGGAGTGTCCAAGGGTCAAGGAGGTCAGATCCTAGTAGGCAGGATGAGAGTGCTGAGCTATCAGGCTGGGGAGGAGGCAGCCAAAGCCACATCTCATAGGGACTTGAACATGAAGTGAGGCAGCTTTGCTGGGTGACCGTAGGCAAGTTACTCCCTGTCTCTGGGCCTTCGCTGCTTCCTGGGAAAACAAGGTGGTCTCTCTCGGATCTTGGAGTTTGAAGTTGCTGCTGCCACTCTCTATGCCAGGGTTCTAGGGGTTGGGCCAGGCAGGGCAGGGTCCAGGGTGCAAAACCAGGCATGGGAAGGGCCACGGCCCAGGCAGGCTTCGAGGTGGCCAGAGGACTCCCCAAATGATGGCCAGGTGTTGGGTGGCTCTGATGGTGAGCTTCTACCCACAACCTGCCCCCACAACCTCAGAAAGAAATGGGGACCAGCACAGATTCTGGTAACACTGCTTGCAGGGCCACCCATGGCCTACAACCCAGAGAAAGCTCTGGCTGCTGTGAGACTCGCTGGCCATAGGGAAGGGTGCTCTCCAGCCTCAGGCTGCTCCAGCTGACAGGAGCTGGGCAGTGTCCTGAGCAGCACAGCAGTTTGGAGGCAGTGAGCCCCCCCCCCTGGGGGCGCATCATGAGCTTGCAGAGCCCCAGCCTGACCCTCCCTCGGCTTCCCGTACCTCCATAGCCCTCGTACACGCTGACGTCAAAGTAGGTGCCAAAGGCCGACGCGTTGACAATGCTATACGTGATCTGGTTGTTCGGCGGGGAGTCTTCGTCCGTCGCCTGGAAGGAAGAGGCAGACAGGGCCTCATGAGCCCGCGGAGAGCCCAGGCTGGGTCAGGGTGGGGAGGGGAGCTCCTGCTTCAGGTGACAACCAGCTGGCCTGAGACCAAATGGCCTTCTTCGTCTCTCAGCTGGTATTTGCCTGCCCAGCCAATACCCCGCTCCCCTTCTGGTGCTGGAGAATTGAGAGGGTGAGTGGGGGCCTGGGGAGAGCTGAGATGGGGCAGCATTCTCAAGGGATGCTCAGCATGCCAATGGCCCACACCCTTCTGTCCCAGCTCTGACACCCCAAGCCACAGACGGCTTCCCAGACCTCAGATGAAGTTCGGGTGTTCTGTGGTTTGGATGCAGTATCCCAAGGGTTCATGTGCTGGTGGCTTAGTCAATGTGATGAATAAGGGGGTGAGTTGATTAAGGGGTGGGGCCTAGTGGGAGGTGGTTAGGTCACCACCAAGAGGTCACCTCCAAGAGAGCCAGCCTGGTCCTAAATCTCTCTTGACTGTTATCTCGCCATGTGATCTCTCCCTGTAGGACATGCTCTTACCATGGCGCTGTCTGCCCCCTTGGGATGCAGCCAGGAAGCCTCACCACAGGTCTAACCAATGAGGCTGCCCCGCCTCGGACTTTTGGCTTCAAAACAGTGAACTACACAGCCCTCTTCCTTACAAATCTCTAGCCTCGTGTACTTTGATATGTATGATACTGTTGATATAGCAACAGAAGGTGTTCTGACACTAGGCCCCTGGTGCCACGTGTCCCCTCAAACCCTGTGTGATTTCTTATTTCATTGCTTCCTACCTCACTTAGACCATCAGCCTCCTAGAAGCAGTTTAGGTTTCTTGGCTATGGCTGCACACCCAGCATCTAGCACAGGGTTTGGTACACAGTGGGTGTCTAATAAATGCATATTTCATTAAAACAAGGGGGGAAAAGTTCTTGGAAGGGGGCCCCTTGTTTGGCTAAATTAATTAGCTCCTTCCTGATTGTCCTCAGCTCTGAAGAGTGTCCAGGTTCCCACCACTCCCTGTACTTGGGCTAAGCAGAAGGGAAAAGCAGGATCTACTGGAGACCGTGCCCGTGAGGAGCTGGTGCACAGCCTTACCTTCTGCGTGCCCACCACTCTACCCTCACCTTCATTCCTGCCTGCTTCGGAAATAATTTCCAAGTGCAGGCCATGGCTCCTGTCTCTCTTGGCAGGCAGCATGGGGAAGGGACATATGGACAGTAAGAAGAAACTGGTCAGAGCTGGTTGTGGTGTCTCAAACCTGTAATCCCAGGTACTCAGGAGGCTGAGGCAGAAAGATCACAATGTCAAGCCCAAGGCCTTTGTTAGACACCTACTATGTACTGACTCAGCAAAACCATATTCCAAAAGTCCCAGCTCAGAAGTCCCTGGAGTGTGGTGGGGACTTCCTATAGGATGAAGCCTGCAGCACAGAGCCTCCATCAGAGGGCTGGTTCTGCTGCTCCACTGATGCACTGTGTCTTTGGGGCCCACCCCTCCCTACTGTTCCCCGAGTGCTGTACCCAGGGTCCTGGACCACTGTTATGGCTCCTATCCGGATGTCACCTCACGCACTCATAGGTGGGGCTTTTCAGAGCTGGCTGGATCTAGGGTGTGTGATACTGGGAGTAAAGGTGTGTGGTACTATGCTGATTGGAATTAGCATAGTTTTGGGTGTGGCTAAATCAATTCACTAAAACCCGAAGCTCTACCCTGGCACCAACCAAAAGATTTGTAGCCTGGATGGCATAGAGAGAGAGGCAGGCTTCTTGCTGCTGCCGCCTCCTGCCTGCCCTGCATGCACAGTTTCTCCTCTGTGACACTTCTCTGCCCTGCCATTCTGCTTTGGAACCAGTTGACTAGGGACTGAAACCTCTACAAACTGTGAGCTGCAATAAACCTTTCCTCTTTTAACCGTGGGTATCAGGTATTTTGTACTAGCAACCAGAAAAGTAACTAAGACAGGCCCCTACCAGCCACAGAGGTTCCTGGTTCTAGGCACGTGCTAACAGGCTTCCACAGGAGTCCTTGCATGGGAGGTGAGGAATATCTTTTTGCTAAATAGTAACCTGTAAGTAATTCAGTTTGGGACAAACACTGTGCTTGTGGCCCTGCTCAGTCAACTGTGACAGGAGGTGATGCTCAGAGGAGGCCTCACGGACACCAGAAGTTCGACCCCCAAGCCTTAGTGAGTGGGCAGTTAGCGCCCCTCACTGTGGCTTCCTCAGGGAGCAGTCAGGAGGCACAACACCAGGGGTGAAGGCCATTAAGGTGGTGCTCACGGTTCCCTGCCCTCTTACCCGCAGCCGCACCAGCTGGGTGACGGAGGGCTCGTTCTCTCTCAAGGCGCCCACATAGGCGTCCTTCTGGAAGGTGGGCACATTGTCGTTGACATCTAGCACGTTGATGCGGACCCGGCCTGTTGTCTCCTCGCCGCCCCCATCCCTGGCGATGACGGTCAAGGTGAAGCGTTGGATGAGCTCGAAGTCCAGCTTGGCGATCAGCAGGATGAGTCCCGTGTCCTTGTCCAGTGAGAACCTGGGTCAGGAGGAGGGAGCAGGAAGATGCCTGGGATCAGAGCAGGCTGCGGATGTGCATTTCCCAGCCCATCCTGCCCGTGGCACAGACACAGCGGGGCATGAAGCCCGCCTGCTCCTCATCTGTTCTCTGTGAGCAGAGAAGCTGCTTCTGAAGGGACCGGGGTTGAGTGGGGTCCCAGGAGGGGCCAAGGGGCAGTGCCAAAGGCAGGAAGGAGGGGGTGGCTTCACCCAGAAGGAACTCCAGCAGAATGCTCCTCTTTCCCTGAGTAGGAGTCTCTGCCAACTGTTCGGGACAGAAATTCAGCCATCCAGAACAGTTTTGTGTCCCACAAGGAGAGGGTTGGCTGGTCCTCCCTTGGGAGCTATGCTTGTCATCTGCTTGAGGACTGAGGCTCAGGGAGGAGGCTGGCAGTGTTCTTCAGGGGCAGCAAAGGCCAGCAAGATGATTCTTCCAAGTGCCTCCTCTTTGGAGACGTGGCTGGGCTGTCAGGTGACGTATGTGTGCTCTGCCCTGGTCCACAATAGTAAGTCACCAAATCTGGAATGGCCCAGCCCCAAGGCATGGAGGCCCCAAGAAAAATAGAGAAATCTGGGTGACCAGGACAAGGCCATACGAACACAGATCCCCAGGGGCCAGGGTGCCCTGTGCATTCGGCTGCAGGCGGTCTCTTCCTTTCATACTGAGTTCTCATCACAGAGTGCAGAGGACACCAGTGATGCACCTGACAATGTCCTGGTCTCTTCTCGATCATCCACCACAGACAGGCCGGGGACAGAACCTGTCCTGCTCATCTGCCGGCTTCCAAACGCATCAGACTCTCTAATTCAGCTTGGCCTTGATCATATTAAAAATGAGATGGCCTAGCTGGGCATGGTGGTGCCTACCAGTAAGCAATCCTAGCACTCTGGGAGGCTGAGCCAGGAAGATCACAGATTCAAGCCCAGCCTGGGCAACTTAGTCAGACCTAAATAAAAGTCTCAGAATGTTACACAAGTGCTAGGGATGGAGTTTAGTATGAAGGCTCTGGGATCAATTCCCAGTACCACCAGGGGGGAAAAATGACCTCCCTTGGCTCAGATTTAATCAAAGACAAGGGAAAGAGATGGCTCACTGGGGGTGACAGGGCAAGGCTGGCAAATGACAGTCAGTGTTAGAGGCCACGTGTCAGTGCTGTCACATTCAGAGGCCTGGGCCTGGGACTCCGGAAAGTAACTGTGAAGCACAAATGGCCGTGTGCCAAGCACTGAGTTCCTCCAGCCTTTGGTAGTGAGGGTCACACAAGATGATGTGTGGTAAATACTTGACAAAGGGCCTGGCACACAGTCAGGCCCTGCATGTTAGCTGTTGCTGTTGGTAGTGGTGAGCTGATAACCCCAAATGGTTGGTGCTGGCAGGCCTCACGGGCACAAGCCTTCTCTACTCCTGAAGCTAAATGCTGCATTTCTGAGCCAGAGAAACTCTGTCCCAGGGAGTTTAGAGGGCTTGGAGAACCCTGAATTGCAATCAGGGCAAAAGCAGCAACTGTGCGTGGACACTGACTCCCAGCCCAGTGCTCTGGTCATGGAGTCCAGTGCCCTCCTTAAGAAGTTTCCCAGACATCCTGGGTAGTGGAGGAGCTGGAGGAAGGGGTCTCACCTGTCAGGGTCATCACTGAAGAAGTAGTTGACCTCCCCAAAGGTGCCCACGTCATTGTCCGTGGCCTACAGTGGTGAGAACAGGAAGTTGTTACTGCCAGGTCCAGCTGAGGTTGTGGACCTTGTCAGGTAAGGGCCACAGGAAACCTGTTTCCCCCACACGGCTCTGGTGGGCTGGTTTGATACCCTAGAGCCACACTGCTTCAAAAGTGCCATGGGCCACAAATGATTCATTTTATCCAGGAAAGCAGAGCTCCAGTGGCTCATTGCATTACTGGGTGAGTCCATTGCTCCTGGCCCCATGCCAGCCTGGGGGAGTGGCTTAGCTTCTGCAGGTCTTCAGGGGTGTGGAGGGGATCTGGGGTCCGAGCCTGAAGTCTCAACCTATGGATGTGCAAAATACTGCAAAGGACAGTGGATGTGGGTATGGCTTCAGCCATCTGGTAGATTCTTCTGTGACTCCTCTGTCCCCAAACCCTGTAAGTCAGAGGTGGTACTGGGGGAGGGGTTTCCAGTGGGGGGATTTCTGGATATGCCCTTGGACTCTAGGAATAATGCACTGCATGACAGTGCAGGCTGTCACCTGCCGGCCACCTCTGAGACACAGGCTGTTGTGTCTTACCCTTCTTGGGCTCATCTGCCAGCTGGAACAAGTGGGCCAGGACCAGCAGCTGCCTTCCCTGCCCCCAGCCACAGGGACTGGCTAGGGGTGGCCCTTGGCTACCATAGGTCCCGCAGTATGCCTGGATCTTTCTTAAGGTTTCTGGAGAAAAATAGTTTTCTCCAAAGCTGGGGCAATTTGACCTGGATGTTTTGGGAGGAGCTGGGAGAGAGAGGGGCTGAGTCCTGGTGTGCTAGGGTCTTGAGTCTAAAGTCCCTTCTCTTACACAGCTTGATCTCTGGATCAAGTCCTGTCCAGGTTGGGCCAAATTGAGCATCCATCAGCAATAGTCAAAAGAGGCGATCGATGGAGGACAGGCCAGCTCTATGCTGATGTCCATGGCAATAGTGGTGACTGCTGCCAGACTCCACCATTTCAGACCTTTTACGTTTTCAAAGAACGTCCATGTTTATTGTGGTCTCATTTTATCCTTTATTGTGCCATCCACGTGATGAGGAAGAGTGACCCTTCCACCCACCTCACAGATAGTTCAACTGAGACCCAGGATCCTTGAGCCCCAAGGGGACCCTGTCACCAGGTGGTGAGATCAGAAGCAAAGGCCTTCCTGCTCCCTGCCTGTGCTCCCTCCTTTAGGCCTCCCAAGGGCCCCCTCCTGGTCTCCCCTTTCCCAAAATGAGCAGTGCAAGAGGGGGTTGGCTTTTGTCCCTGTGATCAATGATCAACGGCTTCTGTCTCAGCTCAGGTGTAACCACAAGGATGCTAGGCCACCCATCTGTTCATTTATCCACCCACACATTCAGCACAGTGTGTATCAGGCCCTGTTCTAGATGCCCTGGGGCTGGGCAAACTGCTGCCTGCTACCAGATGCCAGATGGAAAAGGCTTTGCACTGACCTTTGGCCCATGTATCTTTGTTTTATACTCTGGGGTTCTTTATAAGATCATACGTGGATAAAGGCTCTGCGGCTAAAAATATGTTTTAATATCTCTCTACTAAATATTTTCTAAGGCTCTTTAAAACCTCCTAGATCCTATGAAATCTATTAAATTCTATGTTCCTTTTAATAAACCTGAATTTTCATGAAAAACCTAATTCCCATTCAATCTATTTGGTTCAGGAAGGCAGATCCGTAAATAATATATTTCTATTCCAGATGAATGAAATGAAAAAAAAGTTTATGCCCAAAGAGTTCAGATCTTAGTTAATCAGAAAATATGGTTACTCATAAAGATGCCATTTCCGGGGGCTCTGAGGTGCCTGCCTTGATGTGACCGCCTCTTGTCCTGCATTTCCACACTCAACTTGGGTTTCTGTGACTTCTGCGCGCTCTATGCACCGTGCCTGTGCCTCTCCGAGTTGCTGCCTCTAAACCAAGAGAAGAACTTGCCTCAGAAGGAGGGGGGCTGCCTACCCCAGGAGACCAAAGCTCCTCCATTCACGTCTTCTTGTAGGGGTGGAAGAGAGGGCTGGGTGGGGATCCCACTGGCAAACTGGCACAACGTATGTGGCATTACAGGACTGTAATGACTGTGGCATGGCCCCGGGAAGAGCAAGGAGTAATGCCATTGAGCTCCGTGGAGAGGCGCCCCGGGATGAGCTACAGACCCCAGATCCAGGCCAGGGTCGACAGAGGGACAGTGTGCAGCCAGAGCATGCCCTCGGGCCTCAGTGTTCTCCTCCCTCAAAGGAAAGGGGGGCTGGGGGCACCTGGTGCCAAAGATGGCACCTGCTGGGCTCCTGGCTGGCAAAGACAGTGCCTGGCACATAGGAGATTCTTCTCATGGGCCTGATGAGTGAATGGGCAAAATCTCCAGTTGAGGGGGTGGTGAGAAAGAAAGTACGGGCACAGAGAATCAGAATGAAGGGAAGGGAGTAGAGCAAAAGGGGACAGGGGAAGAGACAGGCAGAGGAGACCCAGCAGCAACAGGAGGACATCCGAGAAGGTCACAGGTGAGCCCTGGGGGCAGCCATTCGTGTGTCAGTGACCGAAAGAATCTGGCTTGGGCTCAGGGCAGGATGGACCCTTGAGGTTCCCTTGTCCGGTCCCCTTCACCCTGGGTCCTGAAACAGCTGAAGCTCAGGGGGATGGGGTGGTGAGCACTTGGGGGACCAGACGGGGCTGGCTGCCTCCATCCCCACCCCAGGCCCAACCTGTCTTTCTGGGTTGGCTGGGCTTGGCAAAGACTCCCAGTGTCCCTGGGGGCCTCTCACTGCCTGCTTAGGTCACCAAGGCTGACTGGGGAAGATTTGTGAGTCCTTTGGTGCCACCAGCTAATGACCGCATGAAATATGTATGTCCACTAAAGACAAGTGGGGGAGCTTTCACTTTGCAAATGCATGAGGCAGAATAGGAAAGTGAGAGCCGCTGCTCTGCCCTGCAGGGTGGGTGGGCAGCAGCACCGGCAGCCAGGGGCTCCATAGCTCTGCCGGTGCACCCAGTGCAGGCTGCGCAGCGCAGGAACTAGGCGCTTCCTCCAGTGCACGGGTCCAGGCCTTACACATCCAGCCTGTCCAGTCTGGATGGCACCGCCTCTCCTTCCTGGTTCACCCTCCCTGCCCTTCCTGACCACCCCTGGCCCCGCCCTATGCTAGGGATTCTCAGCTCGCTGGGTTCTCCCAGGACAGGGCAGGGACTGGATGTGCTTGGAGCCTACGACAGGCTTCCACAGGCACGGAAGGGGTGCTCCCCAATGCTGTTTCCGATGGCTGTGTCTGCATCCACACCTGCACGTGTTAATGAATAAATCTGTCTGACAGAGACCACATCCCTACCAGGCAAGCACTCAGAACTCCTCTCCTGCTTGTTACAAATGAGGAAACAACAGCTCAGCGATGCTAAGTAACCCGACAAGACCTTGTGGCAGGGAAGTGGCAGAACTGGCCTTCAAAGTCCTAGGTTTAAAACCATTTGGTGCTGGGGCTGGGGATTTAGCTCAGCGGCATAAGCGCCTGCCTTGCAAGCAAGTAGTTGTGAGTTTGATCCCTGGTACCGATAAAAATGAAAAAGACAAAAAACAAAAACAAAAAAACAAAACCATTTGATGCCTTCCTGGACACACAGACCCTAAGTGCTGTCCCATGGCAGAGCCACTCCATGGGCGCTGGCCCACCTGGTCCCTGGAGGCCCCACCTGGCCGTCCAACTGCCCTCCTGCCTGTCCAGGTGCCAGCTCCATCCAGGCCTGCTCTGCTGGCTATTGTGCTTCATAAACGACCTCCTTCCAATATATGGTGTCAAGAGGGTCCACAGCCCAGCTGGACTCTATGATTTTATACCTATCTTTTTTGACACACTCCAAACTGTCCTTTCACTGCTGGTTACCCCATCCTGTCACCTCATAGCTACTGTCCAAACTGGCTCACCCCTCATGGCCCATCTCAGATGCCTCCTCCCTTGGAGGATACCATGGACAAGGAGGACAGATGTAGGATACCTGGCATACCCCCAAAAGCTTCCTGAACGTGACCAGACGGATGCTTACTCAGCCACTTCTCCAGCAACCGGAGGAGGACCTCTCTGGCAAAGTGTCTTTGGTCTAGGGGCCAGTCACTGGTAATGGCAGTGGCTGGTACAGAGCAGGAGCTGGGAGCCTGGTGGCAACCACATGACTGCAAGCACCGAGGTGGGGATGGGGGTGGCCAGAGTCTCTGCCTTCCTCACCAGCCTCCTGAGTCCAGGAGGACCAGTGGCCTCCAGTGCCTGTCCCCAGGTTGGTACACAGGACACAGTGTGGCCAGGACAGGTGGTACCAAAGCCCCTTTGACATATAAGGTGCCCCTCTGAGTGTCCCAGCCACTGTTGTTACCAGCGAAATGAGTCCCTCATCCGGGCCTTTATTACTGTATCGCCAGTGCTTATTCCAGTGGTGGGCAAGGCTAGCGGAAATGTAATTTTCTTTTGCTGACAAAAGGGAAAACATAATTACATGTGGGGGACAATTCAAAGGCTAAGAGAAGGTGAGGAGCCTGTGGCAGGGGCGTAGCCAGCCGGCAGAATTTTCTCTCTGCAGAATTTTCTCTCAGGGCAGGCAGGGGGGAGGACGCTGGCTCTGCCATCTTGCTTTGCGCACTTAACTCTCTGCCACAAAATGTGCTAAACACTTCTTACAGTGTATTTTGTTCCATTTTCCTAACAGTCCTATGGGGCCAGCACCTGAAGTTGGGACTGAGGCTCAGGGAAGTCAATCAACTTGCTCAAAGTCAAACAGCCGCAGGGCTGGGACGTGACCCAACATGGTCATGTCCAGAGCATGCACCCTTTCTCTCTCTCTCTCCCTTTCTTCTTGTGAGATGGGGTCTCACTATGTTGCACAGGCTGCTGTCTAACTCTGAGGCTCATGCGATCCTCCTGTCTCAGCCTCCCAACTAACTAGCACTTCCCTGTTCTACTGCAGGGCTGGAGGAAGGCACCCCTGCAGTGTGAGAGCTCAGCCATGGAGTCTGGG